GCAACAGATAAAGTTGAACATCAAACTCATCAACATATATTTCAGCTTTTTTTGTCTTGATACAAAATCAAATCATAAGACCTAAACAGAAATTTACAGCTAAATCCAAGAGTAAATTCATGGATTACTTTCTCTATGAAATAAATTCACAATCCTAAACCCTAAAAGATCCCTAGCAAATAATTTGATCAAAAAAAAATTTAGAACAAAACCACTCATCAAATATAAAATAAAATAAAAGCTCATACAATTCTAGTTTCCTATTTTGTTATCATCAGACCACAAAAAAAAAATTGCCAGCAAAAAATAACCAAAAAATTACATAAATTAAAAAATCAAAAAAAATTGAGCTTACATGTTGTTGATCCAAAAGATTTCTGTAATTTCACTTCACTAAAAGCAGCTGGAAAAAGTCCTTTTGACTACACAAGATTTTCGGAGCAAAAAACAAAAAAAACAAAAATTCCAGTAAAAAAATTCTAAATTTGACACCACCAAAATGGAAACAAAAAATTATTAAGAAGAAAAAAATAAAAAGCTGAATCCGATTTTAAACAGATCTAAACCTAACCCTAACCCTAAAACCCCAAATGGCACCACGGAAAAAAAAAAGCACCAAATCCAAATGCAACAGAAAAATCAAGATTATTCTTATGATAACAATAATAATAATAACAATAATTAGTAGTAGAAGTTGTAGTAATTCATTTTCTAAACTTTGGGTTTCTCAAGGTTACCCCACAAATCCAAATATGACCATCAAGACCCCCCACCTTCCCACCAAAAAAATAATCAGAGCAAAGAACAATTCCGGGAAAACAAACAAGAGGAAGAGGATAAGGGTAAATATGGAAGATTAATCAATTCATCACTTCTGGATATAACAGAATTTCCAGGTTGAAAAAAAAATAAAAAAGTGAAAAATTTTTAGTGTACCTTGATTTTTAATTAAGGGGCATGTGGCCTAATAAATTTGTTCCGGTTTTCTGTTGGCTTGTGTTTCTAATGAAGCAATTGAAAGTATATGTTATAAAAAAACATAATTATAACACATTGTATTTTTTTTTAAAGGGAGGGTAGTTTGGGGAAAATTGTTAGGTAGGATAAGGTGAAAATTTTTTTTAATTAATGGTGGATAAGGTGATTAATTAAGGGTTAATGAAGTTAAATGGGGATGTTAATTACTAAAAGAAAGAGAGTAGTTTTATTTGTTTTACCTGTGGGCTACGTTTCCACGGGCGCCGGTGGAATGAATGAGAAGAAGTCTCCTCTTTATCTGGAAGAACCGGCTACGACTGCAGACCGAATTTATAAGCACATTTATTTATTTATTTTATAAATTGAATTTTAACATTTTTATTTAAAAATTATTTAAATTCGAAAATATTGAATCCAACTTAGAAAAGATATTTTTATATTTTTGTGCATAATACTCGCATATAGAGCCCATGTATTTGACATTGAATTAACAACAAAACCATTGAATAAAGACAACGGTTGCTATGATTTTATATTAAAGTTTATGAATAAATATTTAATTTAAAATTAATTAATAATGAATGAAGAAACGTACATAATATATATGTTTATAGATAATAAGTTTATTTTCATGTATTTTTATTTTGCAAAACTTATTGATATATAGACATTTTTAAAACGTTATAATTAATTATTTTCTTTTACCTAGTTGTCCGTTCAAATTATTCAAAAGATTTGGTTAATTAAAATTCAAAAAGGTACTTAGTAAGGGAAGAAACAAGAGATTAACACGTATAAAGCAAAAGCAAAGCCTTATCGGATTCTTAATAGTGTTAATTTAGTTTTGGTCAAAAGAGTAATCCCATAACAAGAAAGTAACGTGTACGAGAGGACAAAGATTGGTGCATGCAGACGGTAAGAAAAAGAGCTTAACGAAAGCGTGAAGCCCCATTTTATTAGCTAAGGCAGGAAGCTTCTTTTATTTCCTTTTTGGCCAAGCCAGTTGGCAAGAACTTGTTCAACATTATTTGGCTGTTGTGCCTCGTGAATTTATTTATGTATCCCTCAAGCTTATATTATAATTTTATTTTATTTTAAAAAAATTAATTTTTTTTTCGACTTGAGTCATAATTTAATTTATAATTTTATATAATTATTCTTTAACTATTCCTTATATAAAATTCTAAATTTAACATTGATGTAAAACTAATTTATTTCGATTATCAGTATTGTATCATCATGCAAAAGGAGAGTATTCATTTACCATTATTGTTATTCAACACTAATTTTATATTCGAACTGCGTTTCTCTATTTATGTTCAATTGATTTTAATTATATATTTAATAGTTTATTTCATTAATTTGATAAAAGATAGATACCCGGTGTTCTTCACTTTTACTAATTTTGCCGCTTTAATGAGAGACCTTGTTGAGTAACCAATGAATTAAAAATGTTATGAGAATTAGAATAATCAATACATTTATTATCATTATTAATTTATATAAAAATAATTCACATCCTTTAAATAAAAATTAATCTCGTAACATATTATGTTTAAAACGGACACATAGATTGCAGTGGCACATAAGTTTCTGGTCTAACAATAAATTCATGTAGCTTCTGTTCAAATAATTATATTTTAATTTCCTTTTTTTAATTTATACTTAAATTAAAAAAAAAGGAAAAAGGTTTGCATGTAGACTGTAGAGACTAGAATGTGGCATTTAATATTTATAAGTGTCAATATAGCTTTTCAAAAAAAGAAAAAGTATCAATATGGTAGTTGGAACGAAGCAAATAATTATTACTATTAATAGCTAAAACCTTTTCCTCCTTGGCATTGGATTAAATTCATTTGAGGAAACTCATTTATTAATGGCTAAATATTTAAATAAGTCTCTAAATTATATCAAAAAAATCAATTCAACCCTTATCTTTTTATTACATTCAAATAAGTTTCTAAACTTTTATTTCATATCAAATAAGCCCCTCTCCCTAATCGTTGATTAACTTTCATTAATCAATAATACATGTGATATTTTTATATTATGTTATCTGTCACGTGGCGGATGATGTAGTATTAAATATTATTGATTATGATTGCGTAAATAGATCAAAAAGTAAGCACACAAATCTTAATCAGTAATATTTAACACCATGTCATTTACTACGCGTAAGATGACATGATATAAAAGTGTTACATGTATAGTTGATTAATGAAAATTAATCAATGATTAGTGAAAATGACTTATATGACCTGAAATAGAAATTCAAAGGTTTATTTAAATGTAATAAAAAGATAAGGGTTGCATCGATTTTTTTGACATAATTTAGAGGTCTATTTGAATATTTAGTCTTTATTAATTTATAGCTTTAGATATATCCTTCCAATGCATAGAAGCACCTACCTATCATACAATAATTATATAATAATGCTCATTACATTAAAGTCATTGTTAAGTTTGCCAACTACCTTTCGTCAAAGAATTTATTAATTATAGATAAATATAATACTATAATTATATGAAATTAATTTATTTTTAGGGACATAGATAAATTAATGATTAAGTGGTGTTATATAGTTTTGAGATTCATCTCGCTTTTTTTTTTTTTAATTTGCTTAATCGAATGGCTTAGAGTAAAATAAAAAATCATTTGAGTTTATCTTGCCTTTGTTATTTATTTTCATAAGAGTCGAATGATAAGGTTCGAATTTTCTTTTTCTTTTTAATTTATTTATATGCATTGAAAAATCTTATTATCAACAAAAATATATGTTTTTTAAAAAAGAAAATGCTATAACCTTATCTATTTAATTGACAAATAATATCCTTCGTGAAATCTAATAAATAAATAATGTGTAACATGCTTGTGCAACCAAGTTGGTGTCATTCCCATTATTCAAATGATCCATTGACAAATGGTATTTGATTTAATATACATTTTTTAATAATAATAATAATAATAATAATAATAATAATAATAAAGGCTTTCCCTCATGATAATTTATGCTTGACAATTGGATTAATGGATTGGTTTGTAGATGTTTTTTAAGCATAATGCTTTAGAAAACCTCTTAATTATTTAAGAAAATTTAAATAAGTTTTTAGTTTTTTATTTCGGTAAATCAAAATTATATTTTTTTAATTTAAATTAAATAAAGTTTTATGATTAATGGTAGACAAACTGTCATTTGTCAAAATAACACTTGTCATTTTATATTAATGTAACGTTCACGTGAAAGATTATCATCATGTCATATCAAATTGTTACATTATTATTCAGTATGACATGTTAGTATTTCATATGACTGGCTTATAAAATTAAATATAAAATTAATTGTAGATCATATTCATATGACCGGTTATAAAATTAAATATAAAATTAATTGTAGATCATATTGCTTATGCTTAATTTATCAAAGGAATAAGGGATTACGAGATAGAAAAAATCATCTATCAAACATTTTAATTCATAGATCGATTTACATTCATTTCACCTCTTTGACAATGAGAACGATAGAAAAAAAATAGAAATAAATGGAATTAAATGCGAACCGTTAGATCTTAATTGTTAATCTACCACCATTTTGCTCAGTCTAGGCAAAAAGGCCTTGTGCCAGTTATCAATGACGAACTTTGTCCCTACTATTTATATTTGGAAATTTTCTACAAATAATTTAAAAATTTCTATAATATATAATAAGAAAAATTTATTTACTTTGTAAGTATTATTTGTTTTAAATACATTTATTTTCTATATTTCTCCTGCAATAAATTTGGAAAAATAAATAGTCAAATATAGGTTATATTTTTTTTATATTGAAATTAATTAATTAATTAATTATGTGAGAAAATGACTAGGCGGCAGGTGGGTGGGCCTGGATGAAGCTGAGCTTAGCTCTCAAAGATTTGGATCCAATGAGGCCCGAAATAAATCCACTTGGGCCTAGTCAACGGACTCAACCCTATATATATCTTTAAACGACAGCGTTGAGAGTTAGAACCGTCCAGAACTTTCTCTCTTCTTTCGCCTTCTTTAATTCCTGAGTTCCTAATCAACACCATATAACGAAAATTTTCTTTCCCTTTCTCGCACGATTTTCGTTCTCCCCAAACATCCACCCCTTTTCATAACCCTAAATCCCGAATTTCAACCATGTCGGTTCCACCCTCCTCGGCCACAGCCCCTTCTTCCTCATCTTCTTCTCAGTTCACTTACCAAACGACAGCGAATCCTTCCTATTTCCCTTTACCGTTTCATCTCCAACAACAGGCACAACCTTATGCACCCCCGGCCCAGCCTGTTCCCGTCGCCCCAGCCCCTGTCTACCCCGCCCCAGTCGCCCCCGTCCCCGGCGTCTATTCTCTCCCTCAATACCAACAGGTAAGCAAAACCATAGATTTTAAATAAAATTTCCAATTTATTTTTTACTTGTAAATTTTGGATTCATGGAATTTGGGAATTATGTTGGGTTTAATTTGTGTTTCTTTCCTTGTTTTTGAGGAAGGAAGTTGGATAAGTTTCTGGGTTTTGTTGTTGGAATTAAGAATGTCAAAAAAAAAATTGAATAGAGGAATTAAAAATTGGAAATTTGAAAAAAAAAACAGAATCTTTTGTCCTAGTTTGCTATCATAACCTTTTGTGTTAATTCTAGCCATATACTTATTTTTTAGCTGAATAAAGTTTGCTTGTTCTTTTCATAGTTTGTTTTTGTTTATATTAATTTTGGAGAAAGTAAAAAAAATACAATATCACCATTTAGTTTGTTTCTATATAAATTTTGGTAAAATCGGCAACAAGATGGGTCCTTTTTTTTGTTGGATTATTTTATTCTTTAATTTTATTTTAGAGCTGCGAGTTCAAGTAGACACTTCATCTCTGTAATTTCTTGTAGTATATTTGAACAGGCCCAGCAGTTATTTCAAAGGGATGCACAGATAGTTACACCTGAGGCACTAGAGAGTGTAAAGGCTGCGCTTGCAAGCAGTGAGATTGAGCACAAAGCTGAAACTAAGAAGAAAGCAATCCCTCGTAAAGCTGCTGGTCAGTCGTGGGAGGATCCAACACTTGCAGAGTGGCCAGAAAGTATGAACTATCGAACTAACATAAGTTTATTTATTTTTTATTGCTCTGTGTGTGTTTACAAGTGCTTTACTTATTGTTGTTTAGTTCTGATGTTTTAATTTTGTTTGTAATCTGCAGATGACTTTCGCCTATTTTGCGGTGATCTTGGTAATGAGGTGAATGATGATGTTCTTTCAAAAGCTTTTGCACGATTTCCTTCATTTAACATGGCCAGAGTAAGTTTTCATATTACTTCCATTTGTCTGTTTTCCTTTTATAAGCATTTTGTGGCCCTGGGTCAATGAACTCTCTGCATTTCCTGTTCAGATTTTTGTATGAAGCGCACAGAGCAGTTATATGTTTATGTTGTTAAGGTAGGTTTTGTCTTGAATCTGCATGTTTGCAAATTAATGGAATAGTCTGTTTTATTCATAACATCTTTTAATCCTGTCAAAATTATAGAGATCAATATTAGATGTTGACTGCTGGAACTGACTTACAGAACTTGAGTATGGTATATTTGACCTGACTTATGATGTAGCTTGAGTTATAGCAAGCTGAATTGATTTCGAACATGTTGGAGTAAGATCAGTTAACCTATTAAACTATTTAAGTGGGTTGTCTCTTTCTTGTCTAGCTTTAAAGAGGCAGGAAGTATAAGTATTGTCTTCTTTCTGTTAATGTTTACCCTATGGCATTAAACTTGAAAGATACATGTGCCATTCTTGGTGAATTGACATTCAACATTTGCAACAATGTTTAATCACTTTTCCTTGTCACTGGTTTTCTGACTTGAGGATTGTGCATGTTTCCCTTGTGATTTTTATCTGCACTGCATTGGGAAGCTAGAATTCTCAGTGTCACTCATACTTTGTGGGATCTTAATCTCATTCATTTGTGTTGCTAGTTTGATATGAGTATGTCATGTTGTTCCTTGTATTTCTGTTTGAGGGCATGCCTACTCAACCATTACCCTAGCCGCACATAGTTTGTTGTGTTTCTTTGTGAGGGCATGTCGTGCTTGTGGTTTGACCTGCTGGTATTCCAGCTTTGTACCTGAGAAGAAAAAATCAATGAGGGTTCACAATTTCTTTTTTAAGATGATTTGATAACTAAGAATATTTTACGCATATATTATTTTTCTTCCAGGTTGTTAGAGATAAAAGGACAGGCAAAACGAAGGGCTATGGGTTTGTTAGCTTTGCTAACCCTTCTGACCTTGCAGCTGCACTTAAAGAGATGAATGGTGAGTACTTTAATACTCTCAGATATCCTTGGCTAGTTCTGCATGTAATTGTTCTCGCATGGCATGATGGTTTACAGCTTTAGGAGATGATTTTAGACAACAGGTTCTTTGGCTTTCATTGTGTTCTTATATGTTTATATCCTAAGAGTGTAGATTTTGCGGATAATGTGTTACAGGTAAATATGTTGGAAATAGACCAATCAAGCTTCGCAAGAGTAACTGGAAGGAGAGGATAGATCAAGAGGCCCTTGAGAGACAGAAGGTATAAACTGCCCCTTGCTTTTATTAACCTGTTTCTGTCGAGTTTTTTATATCTTGTTTTATTTCTAACTTTGGATGTTTGTTTCTTAAATTCATCGGCAGAACCAAAATCAGAAAAAGCCAAAGCCACAAAAGAAAGGGATATTACACAAGTGAGGAACTGACCAAGCTTTTTGCCTTCTTTTTCTTGGATCAGATGAATCACCAGTTGAAAATCTGGTGGTTGTAGGATAATGGGAAACTTTATTTTAAGAGAATCTGGCAAACAAGTACAAAAGCTTGTTTCCTTTATGAAATTTGTTGTTCATTTCCCTTCTATTTTATCAGCCATATTATGCTTGTGGCAAGGTTTTATCAACGAGGATCTGAAAGTAATTCATAGTATGCAACTGCTGTCAGCAAAGGCAGGTTTCTCCTTAGCATTTTTCTGCTTTCATGGTTAAGCAGTAAAAACGTATTGAGATTGAAAATTGGATAGTGCAATGGCATACTGAACATAAGTAGGCAAGGAAGTTTATAAAGGTAGATTGAATCCGATATCCTCTAGTCATGCAGCTACATTAATTTGTCTCTTCATCCAACCAGAAGCACTAAACTACTCAACTTTCTGATCTCAAAAACTGGAACCAATTCCACTTTATACTGGTAAGACTAGGGATATATCATATGCTGACACTAGTGTTGTTTTTCTCCTTTCTCAAGAAATCGTAAAACACTCTGACGTCTTGTCGTGAAACCAAATGGCAAAATTGGTAGTGGCCTGTAGGAGAGAGTGAACTGGATCGTTCTTCTATTAAGCATCGATAAATATACTTTGTATGCAAGCTTTTGCACTGTAACCCTTACACGAAAAACCAATTACAGAATGAATTCGGAACAAAACAGCCGATGCCCGAATGTGAGAGCTGCAAACAACTCGTCTTTGGGGATGTATTGCGAGACAACAACAAATAGTGCTTCCATGTGCCAGTAGGAGCCATCATGAGGAAGTTAATGAGGCGAAAAGACCAGAGAAAGCAAACCGACCATTTCTCATCTTGTAAATTCGGCAAATACTCCAGTTTCAGCCATGCTGTTCTGCACAAATGAACATTCACATAGTTCTATAGAATATTCACAAGCATTAACAGAATCCCAAAATAGGGAAATCTCTTTGATTCCAATTTCTTTCCACTTTTAACCATACCAAGAATGGGATGACAAAATTTTCTGCACCATTATATAAGATATCACATTGTTCGCAAAAATCCACGAACTTCAATCAAAAAGCTGTTTAGATTCTTCCTAAATCTCTGGTAATTCACACGGTCTAGAGTTGAAGAGAGATGATTTGAACTTGTTAGAGAATGCAATGCATTTGCCAGTCTTGATTTTAGTGTTGAATTCGCCTGCCTCTCAATTAACTCATTGCCTAATCTCTGCAAGAGAAGCAGCACTATATCATGAGCAGATTGTCATATTTTACATAGCAGAATTGGAGGACAATGTGCCAGTTCTTCTGGAGATCTATTTTGATCCCACCTTATCATAGGACAGCACATAAGGAAAACACCAAGGTTTCCTACAAATGACTTTTAATAGCACAGCTGACGCACTTGTCACTCTTAATAGAACAGCAGTTGCTGAATTATCTATTAACGGAATGATCAAGTGTTTCAACTCATACACCAATAAGTATTATGATTATCAAGAACCAAAGGCAAACCTGGTATAGGCCTTGCTCACAAAGGATCAACGGAAGGAGAGCATCTGCTGCAGCACCAACCAGATCAGGACTGAAATCACAAACAGACAAAAGTATGATCACAGAGAAAATGGAAAAGGAGCAGTCATGCATCAAGTGTGCATTTACACTTGTGGAAGTACATATAAGCTTATCATGGAAATTTGCTTCTAAATACCTGTAATCTTCAAAAAGGAGCAATTGCAATAATGAACGTAGAAACCGGCTGAAAATTCCTTCAGGTAAATTTCCTTGTCCTGCAGCATGTGAACCCAATCCTGTTTTACCTGCACACATCTCCCTATAGTGGTATGAAGCCAGAGCTCTCAGAGCTCCCAGGCACATGTTAACTACTTCTGCATCCTGCATCATCAAGAAAAAATATTGAAAATAACTAAGCTTGAGATAGCAAAAAGTACAAATTTGATCGTCAAGAAGGCTTGCAAAACAATATTCCTAGTGTAGGAAAGAAAACCAGACAATTTCCACACAAGTTGAACACTAAAGGCCCACCTTACTCTTCTCCGTCTTCACCCCTATCAAAAGGAAAAAGAAAGGGGGGTGATAATAGGTGATAATATGGACAATAATTTACCTGATGGTGAAGACCAAAGTCAAGAGTTCCTAGAATATGAGCAAATGCTTCACTATTTAGCTGTGCAAGTGTTTCAGGGTAAACCTCCAAAATGTGTGACAGAAGCGAGAAGTACTGCAAAATATATACTAATCATAATCAGCTTGCAATAACATGGGCTACTCCATCAGAGAGTACAGATATCTTACATCATGACAGAGCTTGGGGTATTTCAGCAGCTCCAAAGATATCAAAGGAGTGACTATGTGAAGACCGAAGTAAACAACCTGCAAGACAGAACATCAAACACCATCTTGGAGCTTTCCATTACTCTAATAATAAGGTAACTAACCTGAGATATATTTGTGCCTGCAACTTCAATGGAATCTGATGAGAAATCAACCTACAAAAAATGCCCAATATTGAGCGATTAAAATTTTAGAGAATCAACCAGCACACAACTTAACACCTACCAGATCTTTTGAACAAAGACTTGAAAGAAGTTGAAGAAGAGCACGCAGATCTTTATACTTCTCGGTCTTTGCTTCACTAAGTAAAGTGCTTGAAAGACTAACTGATATCTGACAAAAGAAAACAAAGAGAGAACAGTTGCAGAGAGAGGTAACTAGCACAGTACATCATTGGTGGCAAAAATGTCACAACAGTATATGCAAGATTGAGGGGCAGGAGCAAGAATTATCAGGAAGACTGAAGGAAAACTAAGAAAGTCATGTTGAAGTACTAAGAACCCTTCCCATTGAAGAGTCCACAATATCTTGAACAAGTTTGATTCACCAACCATGGATTTCAAAACTAGAATAAAATAAATTCAACATTCTGAAAAATCATAAGCATGAGGAGCCACTATCAAAACAAACTGCTATATGCAACACTTGGTAAAAAAACTTTTCAAAAAAAGATTTCTTCTTTTTTAATGAATTATATCAGAAAAAAGTAACCTAACATAAAAACAAAATTAGAGGAAGATCACTACTAAAAAAGTAAGATGCTCTGGCATATGATGTTAGAAGGCAAAAGAAATTTCTCCAAGGTATTGCTTGCATACAAATTTTAAAAGCAACAATATAATTGGCACAAAATCTAGTAGCTGCATATAGGTGTTGATACAATTATGACTAACCCGAGGCAATTTACATTATTGCGGTAACCGGAGTTAATTTATATTATTAAGGTAGGTGACATCTGATTCTCCAGGCATTAAATTGAGATACTCATTATATGACTATAGGAAACAGCTTTAAATAACTAGCCAATGATGCCAGAAGACAGGCTTGATGTGAGTTTAATGTAGTAACCCTCCTACACCATATGGCAAATGCTTGATATGAAGCTTATTATAAAAAACAAAGTGAACCATATTCCACTCAAAAAGACCAAGGTAGAAATACTGGCCTAGTATCACTCAACCATCCAGGTTCGCAATAATTAATCAGATAGAACTTGAAGAATTAAACATGTAACTGTCAGTTTTGCAATGCTTTTGGGTGCTACATGATGCAATCAATTCTAGAAGACATTACATGATGAGAGTTTAGGATTATAACTACATAGAACTACATTAGAGAGCTAAATGAATCACCTTTTTCTGAAAAGCGCCTAGAAAATAGTTCTTTGAGCTCAAAACAATGTCTGCAAAAAATTATCTAGACTACAAATTTTCTTTCCTTTGCATGATAATCAATTCTATTCAAAATTTCAGACGCTTTAAACATGAAAATGCAAGAATATATACTGTATGCGACAATTGCCCACATGGATAATTTAAGTAGGGCACCTTCAGAGTAGACATGTTACCTAATTAGAAACTTGAAGAGGATAAAGATAATAGAAAGACAGAGACTTTAATCAAAGCATTTAAGAAAATTTTTAAGGACTTTCAACAAAGATTACCTTTCCAATATTTTGAGATGAGTAAAGCTGAAGCAAACGCATGCAGAAATCAATCACGGAAGCAGTTTCTTGAGCCTCTAGGTAGGATATTTGTCCATCCACCCAGTCAACAATAAATTTAAGTAGCAGGTATACAACTGCAGACTATGAAATAATTAGAGATTAGTATAAATAATACCAATGTTTGTTATGCAGATAAATATAATTACTGGTTAAACATGAACCACAAAAAGTGGAATTAGTTCACCGGAATTCAATGAACTCATCAGATACTAAAAATGCTAAAGATAAAAACTAAATCTCTTGTTGACATGTGAAGAAATGGATATCAACATGCTAAGGTAAATTCCAATCAAATGATGTTGACTTGGCTCAACAACAAGGTTTTGGGAGCAACAAATAGAGACAATGCTGCCAATTAGCTACAATGAAGTAGCTTTACAGAGTGGAAAATTTCTATAAGAAGCTGATTCACTGTTAGATAACTGCTTAAGTGAGACACTAAACTTGTACTTTGAGGACAAATAATTGCTCAAAAGGATGATCTACCAAAAAGAATATGCAAGAATGGAAACATGTAATACCTCATGCTTGTAAACTTCAAGAAGAATTAGAACAGGGTTCATTACAGAGATACCCATCTCATAAATTGATCTTTGTGTTCTAGGTTCTGCAGCACTGGCAGCTCCACGAAGCCTCTCCAACAAGCAACTAACCTACACAATGTCCTTGACATATATGAAAAAATGTTCCAAAGTGATTCAATAATTCATAAGATTTTGCATTTATTTGATATCCTTACCGACATGATGATATCCGGTTGTTGGGAAACACTTTTGAGATCATTTTTGTTAGACAGTTCCACCAGATATGTTGTCATATGAACCATGAGACCCCTTACATATCTTTGAAATCAATGAGGACATTAGGCCATTAGCAGCAAAATTCTACAACAAAAAGCCAAGGGCAAAAAGCCCCTCAAACACAAGACTTACCGATTAGAGGCCTCTGAATTTCTCAGTCCAGAAGCTGAGAGAACAAGGGTCTGAGCCAGTGAACGCTGAAATTGGAGAAAAAACACTATAGTATGCAAATAAGAGCACCAATACATCTCGTAGAAGGGCTATAGCATATTCCTACCTGATTGGCAGAACTCAACAAGAAAAAACTTTTCTCATTAGTAAAAGCATTTGCTAGGTCACGCCATGAATCCTGAAAAACAAAGATTAAAATGAACTAGTTCAAGCTACCATATTTTTATGCAACAAAGGCATGTACTGAGACCAGAGTTTCTAAGAGTTGCAATCGGACTAGATCAATCAATCAATCAATCAAATAGACATATAAAGATATACAAGGATGTTCAACTTAATATTCAACATAAACCAATTGAACTTATTTTATGCGCTGAAGATTTTATGCAACCCTTTTAAGAGATAAATATCCACAGGAACTGCCCCCTGGGATGTGTGTGCTGTGTGTGGTGTGTGGGGGGGGGGAAGTGGTCAAGATGGAAAGGATAACCTCCTGCTGTGCAGAAGGACAAAACAACGTAAGTTGTGAAAGGCAGGCAACCCAATTATTATAATAGGACTTACTAGAAATGTGAAAATGAACTCCAATATTATGGCAAAGGTCTAATATAATTGATGCATTCCAAAAATATATACAAAATCATGTGAACTCACCATTGAAACAAGCCGATGACAAATATTTTTCCGGCGAACTAGCGTGTGAAGAAGATGGTGACAAGTGAGACCCTGTTTAAAGAGGTAGGGAAAATGAAAAGAAGCACAAACCATTTACTTCATTGATAACAGATTAACATTTGCAACTGTATAATTTTAAAAGCATAACATACGAAAATTGGGAAACAATTCCCATGATCAGTGGCAGAGCTTTTTCCATAGCTCATAGATCATCAAAGGAGACAAAACATCATCACACTTCATGCAACATTGAACTCATGTCATAACTGACTAATTCAAAAGTTTGCAAAATTCAATATGATGAAATCAGCAAGCTTGAATTCCTGCCTATCTACACAAGCAATAGAATCACTACGAAAATAACAAGAAATAAGAGAATGCAGAGGGCACCTGATAGATGTCAAACAATAGACAAGACAGTTATAGAAGGAAAAAAAAAAGTTTAAATAACTTATAGCTCCAGGGCCAAATATATATAATAAAATAATCTTATACCTGCAAATCCTTCTCCCCTGGGTATGACATCAATGTCATCATGGATATGTGAACAATAATGTTGAGAACAATTTGTCCCTGATTATGTTCTCCAAAAAAACTTAATAAAGCTTTTCTGGAGTGTATTGACTGACGCTGGTGCTCATAATCATGACTTAGATGGCAGTTAGCTTCTTCAAGAGGCATTAAGTATGTATGAGACCATCTTGCAAGAAACCATATGACAGCCTACATACAGCATCAGGAAAATCAAGTTAGAGAAACAAGGATTAAGGTGCTAGAGAAAGCAAATAATCTTGATAAGTTACCTCCATAAGCCGAGGACTGAAAACTGTTACTCGCATTTCTTGATCCATGCTCTGCTCGGCAAACCTTATAATTGAACTGCATCATATGAAAAAGACCACCCAAACTGAGCTATTCCATATATCAATGAAAGACCGTGAATAAAAATTTAGATGAATTCCACATCCTGCCTCGTACTAACAATGTAAATAAAAGAAAGCCAAGTTTTACCCAGAAAGAATAACAACAGGATGGTTTTCTGCTTCTACAATGTCCGCAAAATGAGTTTGAATGGCAGTTGGCACCTAAGTTGCGTGACAAAGCAAGAATGAGATTTCAAGTCAGCGGAAGGGCTTTTAAAGATACAATAAGCTTAGAAGATAAACCATAAAAAGTAACCGTCACATTAAACATCTGAGAGAAAAAAGATAGGCACCTTTCTAGAAGTAAAAGGTGAAAGAGGATATTTGAAAACCAAGGGACTCACTCAGCATTCAATTTGCTTCACTGACTTTAATCCCACACACCATAACAAGAAAAGTCATTGATCACTGTTTAGGGTGATATATTGTGAAGACTAACACATAGGGAATAAATTAAATCAGAAAGTTCAAATATGATAGCTGCTACCTGCATAAATGCTGAGCTATTCAACAGGGACAATCAATTTGAGACAGAAGTAGTTTATTAAGTGAACAATAAATATGAACAAAAAATTTCAAGCCACAAAAACTTATGAGTTAGAGAGGAAAAAAGGATTATATATATATATATATATATATGGACACAAAAACAAACAATAGATCCTCTCTTGCATTACAAAGCTTTGTAAAAAACAGAAAAGAAGAAAAGAATTACCAAAGGCGTTTCTCCGTCCCCCTCATCAGCAAGTACATGCCCAGTTATTAACAATAGTGAGTAAAGCTCCTCTAAAGTTTCAGTAGGGTCCATAATGCCCCTGCCCTACAAGCAAAGAAAATAACTTAAAAAAAAAAAGCGAAGAAATCCATGTAACATAAATCTTTCAATAACAATAGTGAGTAATATGTTGGGGAAAACATTTTCCTTGCAAGTGGATGTATGTATACATAAATAAGATGAAAAGAGCACCTGATGAAGTTGTGCAACACACTCAGAAAACAGTCCAGTGAGCAAAGGAATTGTGACATCAACTGCTGCTCTTGCAATGAGAGCATATGAACTTAATCTTTCGTCCATAGCTGTGAGGAAATACAATGACAACATTCAATCTCAGTCATCCAAACATGAAATAACGAAGAAGAAGATAATCATGGTCATGATGGTTTTCTTATTATCTGTAAAATCAACATAGCAATAAGACATCGGTATATGAAAGCATCAATTCTTTCGTTACCAGAAATAGAAGCCTGAAGATAGTCAGAATCAACATCATCATTTGCAACTGAAGCAGAAGCCACTATATCATCCAAACAAAAGAATATTACATTCACTGGTAACAGAACCAACAGTAGCATAACAAGCACTTTAGTCAAGCAATATAGCCAGTAAAGTATTATTGTTACCTTTTAGCTCAGACTCCACTATCATGGAAAAGAGATTTGCTGCAGCATGTTTCCCTTCAGGAGGAAGCAATGCATCTCCACCATTACCATCCATAGGCTGACAAGTTGCAAGTTACAAAAGATATATATTCATCTTAAATAAGTACTTATAGAAACTGAAATTGATAGATTATGCAACAAAATATAAATGAACATTCTAGCAAGCTAAAACTATGTACCACAAGCAGAATAGTCCATGTATCTAACAAGATATCTCGAGCCTCCCAGCTCCAGGTCTCCTCATCAGTGTTATTAGTCATAAGGACTTTAACAACTTCACACATCAAGGTGGACAGCAAGGTAAGAGTACCAAAGGGCCTGAACAGTGAAGGAAAGGCAAAATTGTTTCCAGACTACTTAGAGAGTATTGTAAACAATAAATACAGATGGCAAGAAATAAAATGAGTATCATATTACTTACCTTATGGATTTCAAGAGTTGGTCAAACACAAAAGGAGTTGTTACAGTTGCAATAGATAATAATGCACGGCAACCATCAAGCATCTCACTGAATAATACAGTAGAATCATGTGACTTCATAGCAAGCATATATACATATAAGTAAATGTACAACAAGTGAGAAATATGGAAAAACCAACCTCTCACTTTTTCCCTCTTCAATAGCTTTTGACACAGCACCAGGAGGATCGATCCACTGTAATATACCAGATAGCAGCTGTAGCAAATGATTCTCTTGCATCTTCCCATTATCTAAAATTATTAATCAAATTAATCACTTAAACTTTATATATAACCAAGGACCCTGGCTGACAAAAAATAAGAAGGAATACAAACTCCACAGGTTATAACAGTCTTAAAAAGGATTCATCAAAAAGAATTAATTTTCATAATCATTATGATTCCAAAAACACCAGAATAAGCTTTCCCCAACTCAATCTCTCTCTCTCTCTCTCCTTCCCCAGAAAAATACTCTCCTTGTCAAGAGAAATCTATATACAGAATTTTAAACCAGAATCAATGTTTAATTTTTAATTTAGCAGCAACGTTATATCTAAAAGCTATGGTTGATCATTTCAACCAATCACTAGATGCCTTAAAGACAAGAATTCATATCTGTGACATTTTCAAGCTAAAACAAGGGGAGATTTTTATCTCACAATTTCAGGTGGTTCTAGTCAAACCGTCCAGCTCCAGCAAAACAAAAAGCTCTTTGACATAAGGATCTGTTATGTTTGACATACCATCACTTCATTCTATTCAATTTCAAGCAAAACGTGTAAACAAAAAACTTGACATGAACAATAGTTAAGACACTGATATTATAATTCCACAGCAACTCATGGTTATCAAATATATGCTTCAAGAGATTCATCACACAAATACAAAAAAAATTATACCAAAGAAGAAATAAATATACATTTATGACAAACTAAAACACATAAGAATCAACATAACAGTATTGAATGAAACACATACCAGAAGGAAATATGGTTCCTGTCAAAGAGCAGAATTGTACAATTAGCTTTCGAGCAGAGACAGCAATAGGGCAGTCAAGCCAGTAACCTTCACGAGAAAACTTCTGTCTAAGCGCTGCATATAAGCCAAGCAGCCACCCGACATGGCCATTTGAGATCAAAGCATCACACCACGCAGGCCCAGGCTACAACCAGCAAAAAAATTTGCACCAACAACAAGAATCAACACGATTTGTGCAAGTAAATGATTGAACTATGGCAGCTGAACACAAGCAATCTCTTTGTGATGGGATAGAGCAATAATAGTACAAAGGAGAACAAATATTGTAGATTTGGTTGATTTCTACTCAGTTATTCTCTTGTTGGAAGTCTCCAAAGGATTATGGGTCGTGATGCATTCATGTTATCTCTATGAAGATGTAATCATGAAATGTTTCAAAGAAAAAAAATACATGCAGCAAATCTCGGAAATTTTAAACAACACATCCATTACCTGCACTAAGACACATTCAGACCTCTTAGATGAAGCATTGTCATGTCTAACTCCAGCTGAGAAAACATTGATACCAGCTTTCATGCTATTTGCATCATGCCGAAACTCCCAGTTCAGAATTAGAAGCATGAGACATAGTGCAGCAGTACAAACTTTAACCTCAGGTATCGCAGCATCAGATTCAATTATTTTGTTTGTGACACTTAAAGCAGCATCTCGTGCCCAACAGTAGAATGTCTACGAATCAAAAACACAAGGATTGGAAAAGTAAAAACATCATAATAAACGGAGTTTTCTGTAGACACAACAGGTTATCCTTGACAGAATATCAATAATATCAACAAGGTAAAGACAAATTGAAGGAACCTTCAAATAGTTTAGCTCTAATGATGTCCGACACTGCTCATGAAATTCCCTGGGAAGACCCATGGCACTTGAAGTTGAAGGTGAAAATTCAGAAACCTAAAAGGAAGAGAAAGTTGATTAGAAAATCTAAAGCTAACATACAAAAAATACACCTGAGAGCAAATAGAACTCCTACAAAAGCACTGCATACCAAAGATTCCAAGAAATGTACTCCGATGAATTGCACATCCACTCCATGAGCACCAAGAATGGCCTGATTAACCTGTAGTCATAAGACTGTTAAGAGATGCCAATGAACAATTCTGTGACTTAAAATGAGTTTCAACACTAGAAAAACCCAACAAAATTCCAGTTGTATGAGACATTACTTCTATAAGAATCCTTTGTCAAAAAAAAAAAAGAGGAAGAGATAAATAAGAATCCAATAGATGATCAAATCAACTATGGTTTCAATGATTTACAGGAATAATTTTAGTTTTCCAACCTCAAAAATATTCTTCAAGCTCTGCTCCTCTATGTAATAGAGAAGCAAATGTGCAGAGCATATATGATCTACCCCTTTCAAAAATTACTAAGTTAGGAAGTAAGATAAACAAACAGAATAACTTTAGGAAGAAAAACATGTAAGTTAAATCACAACTGCATCTGCAGAAAGGATGAAGGATAATGAAAATTGCATTCATACCTGATAAAAAAATGCCTCCTTCTCAGCAGCTGTGAAATCAAGCCTACAAATAAAATATTCATTGAAACAATTATGATGTTCCCAATATCTTAGAGCATAAGGAATTCTATTTAAGCAATGTGTTGAATGTTACTCAATGCTTAATGAAATGCAGGATGCAGTATTGCTCAGAATAGGCTTCAGTATGATGAAACTTATACTACATGCTTTATGAAGAGAAGGGCCAAGTAGCCGGTACGAAGTGCTGCAGATGCATACATTACATGTTATCTTTAGGTTGAATATGGAAGGTCATGCAACCTACCAGCCCCTTTTCATCAATTGAGCAGCCACAGAAGATACCTTAGCTTGGACATAGCCCTCTAGCAAACTAGCATGCTGCATAACAAAGCACAGACAGAAACTGCAAAAAAGAAAAGGCATTTAAAAAAGGAGTTTTTTTTTCAGAGTCAAAGCAAAATCAAATGGAGGCAAATTTAATTGAACAAGAAATGCTTTTGTCCTAGCTTCACACTGATAGAAATCTGTTAAGAATAACGACCCTTTAGCAGAACGTAATCTTCAAAAATTGAAGGGTACCTAATCAAACTTCTCCTGTCTTCAATGGAAAGAAAACCCCATTCTCTGATAGCTGCATCTTGAATAGCTGCAGCAGCCTGAAACCTTGCATTTGCCACCTGAGAATTTTCTGAATAAATGAATAAAATTTTAGAATGAAATATCAGAGAGCTTACCGTCTAAACCATTAAGATCTATGTAGCATTCACTGTGTCAGTACAAAATTGTTTCAAGTTTATCAAGCAAAGGTCAAAAGACCATGTAAGCCAGTAAACAGTCCACCTCCAAAGAGAATAATAACATCATAAACATGACAAGCAAGACACATATTCTGAAGATGTTCCCTTGAAAATTTGACAAGTAAGGCTTAAAAAACTTCAAAAAAAAAAAAACACTTAAATCCAATCCAACAAGTGGAACAGAATGGGTAAGAGTCCACCCCTAGCACATACTAGACACTATGAGACATGAATCTAGAAACACGAAAAAACCCTTCCATGACCAAAAAAATCAGCAAGCAGATAAGTTGTTTGTTAATACACCCCATAAAGTACTTTCAACGATGTTCCGTACATATGGACTGGTTACAAAATAGTCATAGGCCACTAACAAAACAAACATTACACACTCATAGGATCCTCATCCTTCCATCAATTACAAATAAACTTCTCACCTCTTCATGAGAATCTCAGATACCGACTGATTGTTGCTTTTGCCACCAAAAAAAGTGTGTTTAATACAAAACGCGATAAAATTTTTTGAATGATTTTACAATTTTCTATGGAATAATTATATTAATGCCAGTTACATTTTAACCATTTGCTCATTTCTTTGAATAAAAACTTACATAATCTCACTTTTTAAGAACTTTCTCCAGGGAGCAAAAGACCAAATTTAAGAAATGCATTGAAACATTGATATCTATACACAGTTAGCTTAACTCACCGAGGATATATTGGCAAGCCTTGTACGGTTGAGGTGACTGTGATAATGACAATATCGTTGCTTCCGCTGCCGTTGGATTTATATGCATCTGCTCCAAAAAGAAAATACATAATGGATAAATAAACAAAGTAATTGAAGAAATATAATATCATTTATTCAGCATATAAATATTTAAAAAAAAAAGAAAAATGAATATCTAAGTGAGTGAATATGAACCTGAATCGAAGAGCAGGCAACTTCGATGGTATGCATAGTTGATTGAAGCAGAGCCAAATCGGCGCCGGCGCCGCCATCGGAAAACCCTTGCATCTCTACTGAGATTGTTGTATAGAGAATAAAAAAGTCAGTTTTTTTTCCTTTTTTTTTTGTTGATGAAGGGTTAAGAGAAAGATTTGAGATTGAAGAGAGATGAAGGAACCTTTGAGATTGAAGAGAATGGAAGCTCAAGTTAATGCCTTGATGATGATGGGATCGATGAAGTGAAGGAGAGTGAAAGAATTCTTTTTTTGATTTAAGGAGTTTTGCTTTTACACTTCACTGGGTTTTGTATAATATTTGTAAATAAAATAGAGGGTCTTTTTGGTATCAAAAAAAAAATAAAGGTTTTTTTTTTTGCTTTCAGGTCCTGAATTGTAAATTGATTTAAAATCCATGTACTTAAATGTAATTTTGCTACTAACTGAACCCTAGTACTTGACGTCACCTCATCAACAGAAGTGGAAGATAGAAGCTTTGCTTTGCCTTTGGCTATGTCCAGAAACAGAGTTGCTAAAGATTACTCTTTTTTATTCAATTTCTTCTTTAAGTTAAAGGTTTAAATTCAGGTAAGCCCTTTTCTATTCTGGGTTATTAATTTTTTGTGGCTTCTTGAAAGACTGGTCGTTCTTTTTTTTTTTTAATGTTATTTAGGCGAAATAGTCAATGGTTGGAATGATAGGAAATGGGTTGTTAAATTTGAGGTTTTTAAAATAATTTTTTGATCTTATTTTAGATAATTAATGATGCTGTCTAATGTAAATATGGTTATGGTTTTGAATTATGTGGATTGGGTTCCTCAACTGGAATTTTGATAAGCAGTCTTCTGTTCTCTGCGTCCAGTTTATTCTATATTCATTTTGTTCCAGATTGAAGTTTGACAATGGAAGGCTTCTCTTTTTCTTTTAATTTGTTTGTTTTCCACGCTAGGATGCCTTAAGTTGAATAATTCTGGTAATTTTGGATGTTTTGAGACTTGAAACCTTGGGAATTGTAAGTATTCTTACTTTTTCTAATGGGAAAGAGTTTGGAATTTATATTGGATATTGTTATATTCATCTTTAATGCTAAAACTTTTAACTTTAATATGGGATTTGTTTTCTGTGTTTCAAGAACCCCCTCCATCTCCCCATGAATTTTGTGATTGTGAATTGGATATTTGTATTTTTTTCATTTCACTTGCATTAGTCTCTCTCTCTCTCTCTCTCTCTCTCTGTCTCTGTGTTCTATGGACTTCATAATTCTTTGGCTTTAGGAACTGACAAGTTCTTTTTTCCGTTTCAACTTACATTTCCCATCATTCATCATATGGCCATCTGCTTTCAATTACCAGGACATGTTCATTAGTTTGCTGATTCTTATTGTGTGTGTATATATATTTACAGAGTTCGTGGTATTGGTTTTGCTTGTTTCCAGTTTCACAGGTCTGTTGCTTCTTCTCAATTTGAAAGAGTGGAGAAAGCAGGAGAATTACTTACCAATTATCTCAAATTTTAGCCTGAAACAATGAAACAAGTGCTTTTATGCGGGAATTGATCTTAGTTGAGTTTTTATTGAATAAGAGTGAAGTGTAGTTTAGGTTTTTCAAACATATTGTGATTTTGCAAGTAATTGAAGTTTATTCTATTGACTGGATAGAAGGACATGGGATATGCAGCTACTCCTTGGAACTCTCCGGTTGAGATTTGCCGTTTTCATGGTTCGCCATGGGGTTTGAAGCAACCTGGCCTATGTTGTAGCTCTCGGAAGTACTCAACAGTAAACGTATCTACTTTTCATTTAATTTGTTTGATCAAATGTAGTCGTAGAAGCCAATCTTGCTTGCCATGGAAGGTAGATAATGGTTCAGAAAGAGAGGCATTTTCTTTACGGTTCAGAGCACTGCAGAGAAGTGTATGTATTGACAGAGACAAAATTGATCAAGATGAATGGGGGAGTTCAGAAGATCATATCCCGCGTGTTAAGAGAAAATTCAAAGAGCAAATAAATTCAAAAAGGCTTTCTAATTCTGTGACATCAGTTTTAGATGGACCTCTTGTTAGAAATGATGAGGAAACCAACAATGATATTCTTCAGAAGTTCTGCAGCAATGGAAGATTGAAAGATGCATCACGGTTGATAGAAATTATGGCCCGTCAGAATCAAATTCCTCATTTCCCTTCTTGCATAAACTTAATCAGGGGTTTCCTAAAAGTAGATGAGCTTGATAAAGCTGCCAAAGTTCTACAAGTTATGATAATGTCTGGTGGGGTACCTGACAATATTACCTATAACATGATGGTTCGTGGTCTTTGTAAAAGAGGGTGCATAAGATCTGCAATTGATCTTTTGGAAGACATGAGCTTGAGTGGTTGCCCTCCAGATGTGATTACATACAATACAATAATACGCTGCATGTTTGATAATGGGATTTTTGATCAGGCTGTTGGGTTTTGGAAGGATCAATTGAGAAAGGGATGCCCACCGTATCTAATCACCTATACCATTCTCATTGAGCTCGTCTGCAAGCATTATGGGACTGTACGGGCCATGGAAGTATTGGATGATATGGCCATAGAAGGTTGTTATCCGGACATTGTTACCTACAATTCACTGGTTAATTTTACTTGTAAACGGGGGAAGTATGAGGATGCTGCTTTAGTCATATATAATATTATATCTCATGGCATGGAGCCCAATGCTATAACATATAACACCCTTATCCATTCTCTTTCTAGTCATGGATGTTGGGATGAAGTGGATGAGATACTTGCCATCATGAAGGAAACTTCCCATCCTCCAACTGTGGTTACTTACAACATTTTGATCAATGGTTTGTGTAAATATGGACTATTAGACCGTGCAATCAACTTCTTTGATCAAATGGTTTCTCAAAATTGTTCTCCAGACATTGTTACTTATAACACTCTGCTTGGTGCTCTTTCAAAAGAAGGCATGGTGGAAGAGGCTCTTCAATTACTTCAATTTTTAAGTGGGAGCAGCTGCTCCCCTGGTTTGATAACTTATAACACTGTCATTGATGGATTGACTAGAAGTGGTGATATGGAGAAAGCAATGGGATTATATGATAAGATGTTAGAAGATGGGATCAGTCCCGATGACATAACCCATCGTTGCTTGGTTTGGGGATTTTGCCGGGCAGGTCAATTTGAGAGAGCTGTAGAGACCTTAAGGGTGATGGGTGAGAGGGAGCACAGAGTGGGAAATAGCGCTTATAAAATGGTAATCCATGGGTTATGTAAAAAGGAGAAGGTAGACTTGGCCATACAAGTTCTGGAAATGATGGTCTCAAGTCGGTGTAAACCAGATGAGACAACTTATTTGACTATAATCAAAGGTATAGCTGATGCTGGTATGATGGAAGAAGCTAACAAATTGCATCAAAAGTTGATGGAATGGCAGGTTTTCGGGGAAAGGACCCTGTTGAGTTAAAGACTTTGTGCAGAGTGAAATTAGTTGATCTTGATAGCCAATTTTTGGGCAGAGAGTTTTTCCAACTTCTGTTGAAACTTATTTCAATTTGAAGCTCCTTGCTTCTGTAATCTCCTCAAAGCATGGAGCCATAGTGGTCTGCTGTTTACACCAATGAATTAGGACAACCTTCTCTCTTTACTTGGTTTTCAGCCTTTGCTTCATCTATTTAACTTCTTGTTGTCTTTCATTAGACTGTTACTTGACTGGTTAGGTATGGTTTTTTTCAAAGAGCATGAATGGAAATATCATTTCTTTGGCTTCTACAAGACTTTTCGCATGTATCCCCCATTTGTTATTGAAATTAATCTCCCATTTGTTATTGAAATTAATCTATAAGGATGTGCCTAGAATAGAGAATTCATGTATCATGATTGTAATCACTTGATTATACTCTCAAGCCCAGCCTTCAATAAGAGTTTTGCGTCTTATAGGACCTTGAAGTTGAATTAAATGGTGAAAAGAAAGAGTTTAGTTACCTGGGTTTAACTACAATATTGATTTGACAGATATGCCACTTGATGTTAATACATAGCCTTGTGCTGCAGATAAGTTGGCAGCTTAACATCCACCGCAGAGAAATTTCCACCAAGCAATATAGCTGTATTAGGCACTTAGATTAAAGTCCTGCAAGTTGAGGGTGTTCTTTATTTAGTCAAAATAATATAGCTGGAAGTCATATTTTATGCAGGCTATGCGCCCGAGCCAGAGACCTTGTTTGATGGTCTTGGAGAGGTTCAACAAAATATTCCAAACTACATGTGGTAAGAACATGTATAAAGGGAAATAATAACAAAAACATGCAGCTGAACCTCAGAGGTCCAGAAGGAAAAAAGACTCTTCCTTGTCAGAACCGTGCGCACGCCTTCAAAGTTCAGAGAGGATAAATAAGTTGATAGAATAAGAGTAATGAAACAAGATATGGCAAGATTATAGTTAGACGGCTCATGTTGCTGATATGTGACAAAATGGTCAATGGGTGCTACTTATTAGAATCAGAAACAGCAAACTCTTTGTAAACATCAAGCAAAGGAAAAGTTCTGTTCAAACGTTTGAATGAATCTTTAGAAATAGCTTCCATTCTGACAAGGGCATTGGCCAACTCCATAGCTTCAGAACGCCATCCGGCGAAACCAATCCCTTCAATCAGTAATATGTAAGTGGTTTCATTTGGCTGACATTGCTTATCAACCATTGCTGCTAACACTTCAATGGCATCATTGATTCTGTGTACTTTGCATAGACCAAGAAGAACAATATTGTAACTGATTACTGTGGGGGGAATCCCACTACATCCCATGTCAACTAGCAACTCAATAGCTTCGTCAACCATCCCATCTCTGCACAAGCAGGAGATGAGTGAATTGTAAGTAATTTCATCAGGACCAATTCTTTTCCTAAGCATCTCTGATATCATTTCCAAAGCCTTGACTTTATCCCCAGAGCTCCATAGTGCACTGAACATAGTGTTGTAAGAACTCACATTTGGAGGACATCCAACCTCACGAAGCTTCTCAAAGATTTCCAAAGCCTGCTCAGCATTTCCATTCTTACACAGAGTAGCTAAGACTGTGTTGTAGTTAACAATATCTGGCAGGCAACCATCAGAGATCATGTAATCCAAAAACTCAATTGCCAAATCTAGTCTCCCTTCTTTGCAGAATGCAGAGATCAATGGATCATAACTATAAGCATCAGGCGTCAAACCCCTTTCTTTCATCATCTTTAATACATTTACAGCCTCCTCAAGTTGTCCTTCACGACAAAGAGAGCTGATCAAGATGCTATAAGTAACAACATTTGGTTCACAACCTCCAGAAACCATCTCTGTCACTAGTTTCCCCCCTTCAACCCACTTCCCCTGATTCAAAAGTGCTCGTAACAAAATGTTGTAAGAAATCACATCTGGCTGACAACCCCTAGCCTTTAAGCTTCTAACAAACTTAAAAGCTCTATCCACCATCCCATCTTTGCACATTCCTCTAATAATTGCATTGTAAGTGAACATATCTGGTCGAAGTCCTTTTGATAACATTTCATCCAAAAGTTTCATAGCTTCATTAATTCCACCTTGAAGCATGGTTGCCTCTATCAGAATTGTGTAGGTAATAACAGAAGGCTTGCAATTATCTTTCAACAACTGATTCATAACCTTGCAAGCTGAATCAAGTTTCCCTCTACTACAAAAACTCCCAATCATTATATTATATGTAACAACATCAGGTGAAAACCCTCTACTTCTCATCCTATCAAGCACTTTATTAGCAAAATCAAGCCGGTTCATCTTACAAAACCCACTAATTATTGCATTGTAAGCAAAAACATCAGGTTCACCATACTTTTCCAAAATTTCTATAACCCTAGTAGCTTTCTCAACATTCCTTCCATAGAAAAACCCTTTAATCATCTTTGTACAAAGAACAACATCAGGCTTGTAACCTTTGCCAACCATGCACTCAAGAAAGTAAAATGCTTCATTGTACTTGCCTGCCTTGCATGACCTATTGAGTAGTTTCATCAAATGAGTCTCTTTAAAATCAAAAGATAAGAGATGGGTTGGTCTTGTTTCAGCTGAAACCCTAACTTTTTCCTTTTTTCTAGACTTACTACTTCTATCTTGACTCTCATGGTTTAAGCAACTCACCAAAGAAGTATGATGTGAATGTGAATTTGAAGTTGGTTTTAGTTGTTGTGTAGTAAAGGGTAGACTATGGGGAACTAACTCAGTTGAAAACAGTGTCATTGATAATGATTTTCAGTCTTTTTTTTTTTTCCCCTGGTGCTCAATGTTCAAGGAAGATCATTTTGCTCTACAGCTAGCTAAAGGGAGAAAGATAGAAAGAAGAAATGGAGAGAGAGTACCTAAAAAACTGAAAGGAATGGTGACAAAAACTTAAAAGATGTGTCTGTGCTTTATGGTGTTCTTTGCTGGCACGTGGTCTTACACAGATTTTCAGTTGGATATGTGGGCATAACTCAAGGATAAGGCATCTGGCTTGGACATCGGTATTGGGTTTGGACATTGTTTGACCCGGAAAGCCTACGGGCCATAGTAGAGAATTTTTGTTACTGGAGCCAATCCCAAGCAAAGGGAAGCCCAGTTGCATATATTATATTATATTTAAAATCCGTTTGATATCATAGATGTAAAATACATTATCTGTAATGTAACTTATTAAATTACATTACAATGTTTATTTTATAACATATTACTGTAAACATTACAGCCAATGGATGTAATGTAATTACATTCCAAAATCAATGCAATCACATTACATTGCACTCATGTAATATTCTTAAAAACAATTTTACCCTTCAACTTTATTATCTTATTAAAAATATTTTATAATATTATAATTAAAATAAAACATATTAAAATAAAATATATAATATAAGAATAAAAAAAAAAAAATAATATAAAAATTAACATTTATATAATATAGTAAAACAAATTAAAATAAAATATATAATATAAGAATAAAAATAAAATAAAATAAAATATAAAAAATTAACATTATATAATATAGGTAAAACAAATTAAAATAAAATATATAATAATAAAAATATATTAAGAATGAAAATAAAATATAATAAAATTATAATAATAAATAAAAATAAAATATATGATATTAAAAATATATTTAAAATATGATATTATATAAAAATTAATAATATAAATATAAATATATTAAAAATAAAAAATAAAATATTATAATAATAAATAAAATAAAATATATGACATTAAAAATATATTTAAGAAATGATATTATATAAAAATTAATAATAAAAATATAAATATATTAAAAATAAAATATAAAATATTATAATAATAAATAAAATAAATATATGATATTAAAAATATATTTAAGAAATGATATTATATAAAAATTAATAATAAAAAATAAATATATTAAATTTATATTTTAATAATTAAGGGTAATTTTGACAATTAACATTACATTCCCACTAAAGTACTTGTAAACTAAACACTGCAATATTATTTTTTCTATATTTTAATTATTATTTTACTTGTATACCAAACACTGTAATATTATTTTTCTATATATCACATTGCTTATAATCACGTTATGTCACCGGTTCAATTTTTTCGGATTGGTGAACAATGGCTCCCACTCGACAAAGGGTAGCAACAGTCACTTTTGTGATTGGTGTGCAATGTTACCCCCACTCGACAAGGGAAGCAACCATCACTTTAGGGAACATTTTGGAGACAAAAAGCACTGGCTAACATTCGATTGCTTTAATTGGGTAGGCCATTGTAGTGGGAAGAAAGAGTTTGACATTAATGTTATAACATGTGGACTTGAAACTCCCAACTCATACATTCAGAATCCAAAGAGGTGGACATCAGTTACAAAAGAAAACACAAAGGTCATGCAAAGCTGTAATGGTTTTCAAACCAACTCAGCAAACTCCTTGTGCATTTCTACTGTGTCCAGTTTTGCTAGCAGTTGCTTCCCACTTTATTTTTTTTTTTGGGTACAACTTTATTTCAAGGACCTAGGCAAAGTAGGAATGGCCAGCCATTGTTCAAATCTATAATAGCTGCATTTTCCTCATGGCATTCTGATCTCTAGAGAGCTGGAAAACATGAGGATGCACCCTCAGAAGTTGAAATGAACAAAGTATTATTATTACCTGCATGTCAATAAGATATCTTATCAAACATTTGAAATAATTCACGAGGGATCCATTCTTCAAAAAGATAACTGAATTACAGTGCTCATGCATGGCTGCAGGCCTTTGATCATGGCCCCCATCACAGATAACAAACCTAACTGCCTTCATACTTGCGGAATGTGAGCTGACATATATAGCAGCCTCGAGAAAATCATTGTAGAGTGTAGGCTAACCAGAGAGCATAATAAATCGTAATAATTTCTCAAAATTAAAAAGAAAAAGAAAAGAAAGACAATGGTACCTAATATGCACATAACCTTGAAATATCAAAAGATTAGGTGAGCTAATCCACATATCAACTGTCCAACATGTGGTCCAATTATAGCTAGATATTAAAAGCAATATTAATCTCTGCTTTTTAACTATTTGTTTAAGAAATAAATTTCTCTACTTTCCAAGCTACTTTGTTTCAGTGAAAACCAGCTAACTTGATTAGAAAAGTAAGATTAGAAATTCTTTATTTTCAGTGCCACAATCCAACCTGTGCAGATAAGGTAAATACCAAATTAAATAGTCATAGATATGTCATGTAATAGGTAATATTTACCAAAGCTGAACTAATTCTCCCTTACATGCTGATTATAAGCTTCCATTTAAGTCCAAAAAGTCCCAAAGAAAAGATCTTTCAGGACATGTCTTATGTAGTATAGTCTTCAGGTTTCCTGCTTTTAGCTTCAATTGTACTTCACTCTCCCTAAATTGAGGAATTAGCTGATACATAATAGAGAAGTTAGAATCCACAGAGTAGCTTGCAAAGAAACCTGTTTAAACAGTCACTTTAACTTAAGCAAAATAACATTACCTTTATCAACCATAAATAGTAAATTGCTGAATACATTGCTTGTGCTTGGAAATCCTCAAACTCCATATCTTGAATGGTTGAGCAGGAATTTAGGAGACAGAATTCATTATTCATGAAGATACTGATTTCATCATCCATGCCGGTTTTCTGCTCAGACTGGCTGGAAATACCATGCATATTCATTGTCAAATGGCGTATTGAACACTGGGACAGGAAACGACGATGTAGCCATAGAGCCTATCAAAGATAAACAATATAAATTAAAAATTTTAAGGAATGCAGGAATAGGTGAGTTGGACACTGAACAAATAACTAGCCTGCACAAGTGTCATCTGTCACAAATAGACCATATTTGTTTTGAAAAGCGATGAAAGTACAAAGAACAAGACCATTGACTCTGTCAAACCCCATTCACCCTTTTCTTTTTTTGAGGAGGGAAAAGGAATAGGTAAAATGCCTTGTACCTCTCTCCCTACATAACGCTTTATTAACACTTCGTTCCAATCAAGTTCCGCCTGTCCAGTACAACTTTGAAGAGGTCAAATAAGAAAGTTGTAAATAAATTTTTTCATAAGAGATCAATGATCAATAAAGCAAATACATATCATGTGCGGTATACTTTCTTGGTAAAGACAAGAAATTGGTAGTTTTATTTGCATGAGTATGCCACAAAGTTGTACCTTCACAACTTGATAGTTTTCAACATCATAAGAAGAATCATCACATTCTTGTTTACAGCAGGAATTCTCAAAAATTCCAAGCATTAGCCGCTGCAAATTGAGGTACACTAAGATAGTTAGTAGCATGAATAAGATTTATTATTCAAATAAAAGATTATATTAATGATGACTTACCCCTGGTAAAACAAAATATTTCCCAGTATTCTTTGAACTAAAAACATATCTTTTCTTGAAGGCAATATCAATTTCAGACTGTAACATAAAAGCTTACTCGGCGATAGTGAAAGCATGAATTATCAGCAACATGTAACCCGGCCCAATTTCTGGATTTCTTTAACTCATGAAGCATCTGCAATTATATATTTACATCAATAAAACAATGTTAAGAGAAACTTAAAACGGATGCTTTCTTGAACCAAAGTGTCTCTGTATTAAAAAACCAAAAAACAAACATAATATACAACATAAATTTAGCAGCATAAAACAGGAACAGTGGAATTCTGAGAACATATCACTACACTCTATCCTTTAAAAATTCTGAAAATTCTGCACTAAGTACAGTTTTTAATCATTTGTTTTTTCTCACACATATGTGAAGTGCAGCAAACCTAGAACTTGTGTTGCAACAGTATATAACACTTGAACAATCTGCATAATCCAATAATCTAACCTGTTCTCTTGTCATGTAGGAAACTAACCAGCACCGATGATTCCAGGCACGATAGTTCATTTTTGATCTCTGTAAAGAAAAGAATATGATTAACTGCAGTTTTATCCACAGTTACATATCTCAATCATTGGTGTTGATGAATAAAAATCCATATCATAAATGCATTAGTAGGGGTCCACTCTACCCACAAAAGGAGTCCATATCTTAATAATAAAGATTCAGAGGTTTACATGAAAAGGGGAAAATGATTAGAACAAATTCATAGGAACTTTAGTGAGTTGTCAAGATAAGATGCACATCAGAAAGCAAACAGCTTAATAAACCCAACTCATATGCTTTGCAGTTTCATCCCTTTCAGTTTTTAGTCTGGGACAACACCATTAGGCAAACTACTAAGTATCTTGGAGTTCATAGCCACTTCTTGCGAGAGAAGAAAGAAAGAAATAAAGGATTTACTTTGAAAACGCTAATAAACCTTATTATACAATAGTATCCAGTTCCTGAGCTGAAATTAAACCTCAGCTATTTTTTCGACAAGCTCAGATTCTTTTGCTATAATCTCTGGCAGAGTTGAACATGTTCCAGCAATCATCCTGATCACCCATCGCCTGTGGCTCCAAGCTTGTTCACTTTTAGGTGAATAAGAAAGAACAAGGGCTGACAAGAGAAGTTCATCCATAAACATTGCCAGTTGCTGCTTCTTTGACACAACGAGCTTCCTAATGACATGACATAATACATAAACTAGGATCATGATCTAAACAAACTACACATCAACGATAAAATTTACAAATTATAACATAGCAGCAAGCATAAGGAACTTCAAAGCTCTACAAAGGCTAAAGACATAAAAACTCTCAGCTTGTGGTCATGCAAAGATAATCTCAAAGGTTTGATTCCATCATTTTCAAAGTTTACGCCGAAATTTTGGCTTCATTGTGTTTTAACAGAGACCTGAAAACCCAAAGGATGGGACCATGAACAGGGAATTGGTGTTCAATAGCAGGGTGAACTAGAATTACATGCCCAAATTTACAAATCACAGCTAATCAAATATTGTAACCATTTTTCCAGGGTGAAACAACTAGCAATGGTCAATCAGACCAGATGAAAATGCTTCACACTGACATGTAAGCAACAAATCCCAATCATCTTCCCAGAAATTGATTAGCATCCAAAGTACAAGTGAAGAAGTTAACAATAACTATGGATATACATAAAAGATTGAGTGGGGAAAACCTGGAATTCCATGCAGTGCCAAAATCGCAGCTTAACAATAAAAGCGCCCTGCTATGCTTCATGACTTCACTTTCAAAACACTGACAAGACAAAGAGCCATTCATGATATTCTCATGCTCATGTTTATTATTCGATAAGCTGTTAAGTGTCCTATATTGTTTCATTGCATCCATACATGCACCTTTTGCAGCCTTACACAACGGAAGAAGAACCTCAGTTGAAATGCCCAACTTATGATCTCTATTCCAAAATTTTGTATTTCTAGGTCCCAAAACATCATCCTTGGATGAGTCGCCGGATTCACCACCCTCTTCGCAGAGTGTGACAAACTGAGATGGGTGAATAAACCCTACTTCATCACTGAATTCAAGAACGGCAGCAATATTAGCTTCATATTACAATCGTAACATAAAACAATCTATTTCAACAGTGAGAATATATAAATAAACAACTAAGGTTCCATTTCCTTGCCCCTGCTTGCTTTTCAAAGAAATTCATCTACGGGCAAAATCATCTTTTTTGTTCTTTTTCTTCCACTAAATGCAAAATTTTTAAAATTTCAAAATTACTTGTTCTGTTTACATTCCAAACATTAACTTAATACAAAAAAAATGTAGCAAAAGCGCCAATTAATAAAATCCTGAACCAAGTTTCATATAATTCTCCTAACTAAATCAAATACAACAAAGTTTCATTTTCTCAATTTTAATAATTATATTCTTAAAATTTTTTCCTATTTATAAATCATAATTATCGACTTTTCACTTTAGAGAAAGATTAAAAATATTTTCTTTCATTTTTCTCCATTTTCTCAGTAACTAAACACAACGGCATCTTTAAAAATCTAAACTAATTTCAAAAGTTAACATGATAAATCTATATAATTCCATAAGTAAAACGATCTCATTTTTCAAATAAACGTATAACGACTCACATGAGGGGATCGGATTCCAAAATTGCCTCCAATTGATTCAACAGATCCATCGCTCTGTCTTCATCCTACGAGTTTCCGTACATTTTCTCTATTTTTCTAGCTCCCCTGTTTGGTTACCCGGAAAATCAAAGGAAAAAAAAAATCCCATTGCCACGTAATTAAAAAACTGATTTTTTTAAATTTTATCATAAAAAAATTTAAAGTATTATGCACGTGTTGTTCACGTGGCCTGCTCGAGCCGTCGTCTTAACCGTGCATGAAGCAAAGGCAATAAGAGAGAGAAAGGGGAAGGAGAAGAGAAATCACAAGAAAAAAAAAATAAAAAAAAAAGAAAAGGAAAAAGTTCCGTTGTTTTAAGGGGAAAAAAAGAGAGGAGAACTTATTTTTTCTTCAAAATCCAAAGAATCAGAGAAACAGAGAAAACAGATAAATTCTCTTCTTCTTCTTCTTTTTATTGAAATCTTCCTTTTTCTTTCCTTCTCTGTCTTTCACTTTTTCCCGCCATCTTTCCTCTCTTCATTTGATAATCTTCTTGTTTTTATTCTTTTATTGTATTTTTTCCACGAAAACTTTCCTCCATTTTTTAGTTTTACTTTTTAATCAGCAATGCGGCTCATTGATCCAATAATTTACGTCTTTTGTATCTCCCTTTTCGTGCTCCTCTGATTGTAAATTTTCATTTTAATTTTTGATTAATTTTGGTCTAATAATCAAAAAAATTGATAATGGATCGCATTGTCGGTGGGAAATTCAAAATGGGTAGAAAGATCGGAGCTGGATCTTTCGGCGAGCTCTTCCTTGGTAGTCTCTCTCTCTCTCTCTCTCTCTCTCTCTCTCTCTCTCTCTCTCTCTCTCTTTTCCTCTTTATTTTTACGCTTTTTAAATCAAAGTAATTAATCTGATTTAATGTGGTAATTATTTTTTGATAGGGGTCAATATACAGACTGGGGAAGAAGTTGCTGTAAAGATGGTATGAGCCTTAATTTTTGGAATTAATAGTTTGGTACATGTTGATTAGTTTAATTTTTGTTAGTGATTTGCTGATTTTAGATATAGGTATATGATCACCGGCTATAAGAAACTTATATAGGGATTAATTTTTCACTTTTTATCTCTAAATTAAGGTTAAGTATGTCGTGCTTGTTGTATTTGGCGATGTCAATGCAATCGGTTGGTGTTTGAATATTTTCTATGTGGAAATATAAGTTTATTTAAGTTATTATGAGAATATGTTCTAATTTTTCAATAGATTTAGTTATTGAGGAAGTTGTGATTCGAAGAGATTTATTAGATTAGAACATGCTGTTAATGATGATAAGGTTTTGAGTTTGCTATGAGATTGGATGGAATGGATGCTAAAAGACAAGTTAGAGGCTTTTGAAAATGCTGATGGGAATAGAGATGTGGACTAAAGGATATATTAATTTTTGGGGCAGGGCCTTTTGGGGCACTTTCGCAAGTTTTTGGGCTCTTTAAAGCAGTCTAAGCATTATCTCTGTCGAAGTTGGACATGTATGATAGAAAAATTTTGATATCTTCGAAAAAGGACTATACTGAGATTTTTTGCATTATAGAAGTATCTTAGATCTTGCAACAATATCATGCATTTTAGTATGAAAAGCACCAATCCTGAAATGTTATGAGAAGTAAATTTTGAATGTTTCTACTGATTCCCTACCTTAATCTATTTCGTTTTTGACCACCTGGGTTTTTTTCCCCACATCTTCAGGAACCTGTGAAGACCAAGCACCCTCAGCTTCACTATGAGTCAAAATTGTACATGCTTCTTCAGGGTGGAAGTAAGGTTTTATTTATTTTGCTCTGCTGTTAATTTATTTTAATTAGTGAATTGTGAAGAAAGGACCTTAATATGAAACACATGAGCTGAAGTTCATTGTTTGTTTTGTTTATTGTTTTTGATGAAGCGGGGGTTCCCCACCTCAAGTGGTTTGGAGTTGAAGGTGACTACAATATTATGGTTATTGAGCTTCTAGGGCCAAGCCTTGAGGACTTGTTCAACTACTGCAATCGAAAGCTCTCTTTGAAGACAGTGTTAATGCTCGCTGATCAGTTAGTATGTTTACCTGTCTCACTGAAGAACTTTTGTTTTGCTGCCTATGTTAGCATCACATGTGATGAGTACTCTTATTGCTGTTAACCCTTTAGATCAACAGAGTTGAATTTATGCACTCAAGGGGATTTCTTCATCGTGATATAAAGCCTGACAACTTTCTAATGGGTTTGGGACGAAAAGCCAATCAGGTATACGAGCTAATGTGATGCTTTCACTCTCTAGTTATATGTTGGAGTGTACTCCTTTGAACATTGTCTTACTTCATGATTGGTGACTATAGAGAAAGGTGGAAATCATGAAAGTGAAATTTTATTACTTTTAATCCTGTTAGTACATATATGTGCTGCTTAAGATTATCATATTTAGTTTTCTCATCACTCAAAAGACTTCATAGTCATATTCTTGGCAGTTAATAGTTTCATATTACAATAAGAGAGTTTAAAAAAGAAAATTACTGTGTTTTCAGAGTAAAAGCTAATTTTCTGTTGTGTACACTGTGAGCTGCAAGATCTTGTATTGGCGATGCATCAATGGGATTTCGTCTTGAAGCTTTCTCATAAGAATTTTTGCATCTTAAGTATGATGCAATTATTTAATTTGATAAAGAGTGAAATTAAGATACTGAAGAACATGTATCACTTTTTTCTTTTTTAGTGGGGAAGTAAAATTTTATCCTGATATCCTCTTATAGGATTTTAGAATGGCCTTTCCTTGAGTTTAGCTTTACTTAAGTATTGCATGTCTATGCCATATGTCAGTTACCAATTGTATATTGAAGGTTGTTTCCATTTTTTTTGCCAGTATCAATAGTTGATAACTTGGAGATTGCCATACTGGTAAATTCCCAAAAGTTATTGCAGCTGTAGTTGCTGAGTATACGAAATGCCATTACTAAAAGCCTCAAATCTTGATATGGTGACTGAGATGGTTGCTTTGATTACTTTATGGATTTGCTACTAACCATCTCATGGATTATGTAACAGGTGTATATTATTGATTATGGCCTTGCTAAAAAGTATAGGGATCTTCAAACTCACAAGCACATACCCTATAGGTATGCATTTGCCATTTGTTTCGTATCCCAAATAGTGGCACAATGAGCTAAGGTTTTCTGCTGTCCCATTTTTTTTGTTTGTTTATCAGTTGTATGTAAAATGTTTTTTATCTGAGAGATAGATATTTGTAAACTAATTGCTTACAATTGGTGGCTCTCCTTGAGCATGATAACATCCAGCCAAACAAGCTGGAGAGGAGAGTCACCCATGTATTTTGAAAGTTCTTGACCAGTTGTTGTATTTGACCTGATTTTGGTTACGCTGTTTGTTGTTCTATTGCTTACATGCTAATATAATATGTGTTGAAAGTTATCACATTTTTGACAAGCATCCAGGATTAGTTTCAATGGTTTAATTGAGTGGTTGTTTATCTACTTAGTCTTCATGTTCAATTTGTTTCAACTTCTGTGAATTTGATATCTTCACAGAGAAAACAAGAATCTTACGGGCACAGCTCGATATGCAAGCGTTAACACTCACCTTGGAGTTGGTGGGTAAAGTGCCACATTAGTTATTCATTGTTTCTGCTTATGCATGTTAGACATGATGTGCATTGTGTAATCTAATTGTTGCTCAATTCATGCACAGAACAAAGCCGAAGAGATGATTTGGAATCACTGGGTTATGTGCTCATGTATTTTTTACGAGGAAGGTTATAACTTTATAAGCACTATTCTTTGTGCATTCCAAGTTTGTTGATGTGAAAAATATTTCTTATTGGTCATGTTCTTTAAATTTATGTTTTGCTGGCATCAGCCTTCCCTGGCAGGGACTGAAGGCGGGGACAAAAAAACAGAAGTATGATAAAATCAGTGAAAAGAAGATGCTAACTCCTGTTGAGGTATTTTAAGGTTCAATCAAATTCTGAATATGAAATGCAAGGCTGGTGCCCTCACCTTGTCATTACACTTCTCTTATTTATAACTAATTACATAAATGTGCAAATCCTTCCTTCAGGCACTCTGCAAGTCATATCCATCAGAGTTCATATCATACTTTCATTATTGTCGATCATTACGCTTCGAAGACAAGCCAGATTACTCATACTTGAAGAGGCTTTTCCGAGACTTATTTATTCGAGAAGGTCAGAGCCAAAGACTGTAGTTTCCTATTCAAATACTTTTATCATGTCTTAGTTAATAGTGGAAGTTGGGAGTTGTTTGTATCCTTTGTAATGCCCATAATGTGTGGGTCTCAACAAGAGTGACCATGATGCATATAAAATTTTGTGCATTATAGTGGAAGCAATTGGAAGGTGGGTTGCTTTTTGGCATCTTGATGACATAGCTTTCTAGTTTCTTCTGGTCATGGATAGAGTCATTTAATTGTATTACAAACTTTGCATAGATTGGTGGTTGATGTGCAATAATTTCTTGTACCTAAATATCAGTATGTAAGTCATACACCTTGAAAATGAACAAGGATTTAAATACCAACTATACCGGACTTAACAGGTAAGACAGGATGTGTCTTAACTCCTGTCAAGATGCATTTGAAACGTGTGGTGAACACAATTTGTTATAATAACATGGATAAACATGTGTGAGAGCTCATTCTGTTGCTAGCTGAACTTAGCTTTCCCGCTTTCAAGATGTTGTCATTTTTTGGAAAGCATGATAAGATTACTTGCCAATAACATCATGAGACAACATTGTTTGAAAATTTTTCTTTGAAGGCTGGTAAAGTGTTTATTGCCTTTTGATTCTCAAGGTGGTTTTGTTGGCAGGATATCAGTTTGACTATGTATTTGACTGGACCATACTCAAGTATCCTCAGCTCACTGGTAGCTCTAGACAGCGGGTCAGTGTTTGTAAATCTTGACCTTTACTTCTCTCCTATCACAGATTATTCTTATATTCTTTCTTGTGTCTTTCAGCCATCAGGTGGAAAAGCTGCTTTAAATGCTGGACCATCTGCTGAAAGAACGGAGAAGCCATCAGGTGTGCTCTGTTATCCAGAGAGGGTGTAGGGAGGGGGATCAAGTTTTGCGTAACTAAAATGTTTGGACTGCTAAGGATGTATTTGAATTACTTGATTTTCGTTGTTTTCCAGACTTCCTACTTCTAAATACAATTCCCAATTTTCAATTATGATGCTTGAGGCTTGGATACTTAACATAGCCTTTCTGTGGCAGGGTGATTTAGGAAGTTTCTTGGTTGTTACTTTGTGGAAGCAAAAAATTCTTTACCCTTTTTGTTTAGTGAATCCTAATGCTTTTCCTCCTTTTTCCTTACATGTTTTGACTAGTGGGACGAGAAATTCGCGATAGATTTTCAGGTGCTGTTGAGGTATTTACTAGGAAAAATGCTTCAGGTAGTGGACATCTCAGTGATCATTCAAAGCAGAAGGTATCAGAGAGGGCATCACCATCAAAGGATGTGGTAGGCATTGACTGCCATAAATTTTGTTGCATTTGCTTTCAGTTATTGTCTATTTGCCCATTTCCTATATGAATCTGGATCTACTGTATGCGATTCCTTGAATAAATTTTGATGCATCCATGTCTTTGCATATATGATGCATGTAGAGTTCAAATCAGTGCTCCACAGCTCATCTTTTATTTTGAGGGCTATTTATGAATTTCTCTCAATTTTTTCCAGGACAATGATTCTGGAAGGGGGCGAACTTCTTCCACCCGCCCTAGCAGCTTGTCCAAGAGGGCAGTTGCCTCAAGCAGCAGGCCAACATCTTCTGTGGGGCCCAGTGATAGTCGATCAAGTTGGCTTCTTTCAGGTAGTAGTCGCCTCTCCACCAGCCAGAGACTCCATTCTGGGTCCGAGCACAAATCGTCTCTCTCCCGAGCTACAACCTCGAAAGGTATTCATGAAGATCAGAACAAGAGCTCTGATCACCATTCGAGAGTCACAGATAAGAGGAAGGGGTGAATGTTTCATTTGGTAAGAGATGGTGCTTCTTTTGGTGTAAACCTCACATTCCCATTTCAATCAAAACGTAATTCTTACACAAATTAATGGGTCTCGTCACACCTAAATTCCACATTTTTCGATGGAAATATATGCAATTGTCTTACTTGTCATCATGCTATGTTGTTGTAGAGTCATGAAGAGAAGGATACTAAGATTTGGGATCCAGGCCTTTTTATTTTTTTCAAAAGAAAAAAAAGAAAGGTTCCTTCCCAATTTGTTAATATTTATTCAAAGTAAAGCTGTACTCGCTGATTGCTCCTGTTCTTCCTTCCTACTTGTCCAAACAGATTTATTCCCTCCCATACTTTGAATTAGTTGCTTTTCTATGGTGCAATCAATCAGCAAATGTAATTTGATTTGCTCCTATAGTTTTCTTTTTCTCTCTCTCTAATTTTAAGGAAATGAGAACCATTTGGGGCTAAGCTATCCCCTTTTATCTGGGGTGTTTACATGCATCACATCCGAAAAGAAAAGATTACCCCTTTTATCACATGGATACTCTAATCTAATTTGCTTGGGGGATCCAATCTTTGCATGTTTTAAGAACTGGGAATTGGTAGCTTAATGGCTTGTGAATAGGGTGAGAACAGGGTAAATTGGAAAACTATCCTACTTTTATCTAATAGATCTTGTATGTTCTTTCCATTTTTTTCTTGGTTTCCTTTTCAGATATGTTAGGTACTCCTGTTATTATACCTAATCCATTTCCAATTAAAAATAAAAATCCTTCTTTATTTTCCCCTTTTTTATAAGTATAAAGGAATTGCGTGGTGATCATATTGTTAGGTTACCAATAATTTGCTTATACCGATTGGACAAGGGGGGTTCAGATAGCCTAAAACGAAGGTGGCATTGAATTTGGTCTAAAGGATATATGATGCACCCATGATTGCATTAAATATTCCAACTTCACTGTTTTGTTATCTTTTTCTCTTGCTATGATTGGGTATGCATCCTACTCTTTATCCTCCTATTTATCTCAATCACATAAAGCTACACCCACATTACACTTCACCTCCCATTTTATGCCACTATTAATTTATTGATTTTCCTTAAAAATAATAAATTAAAATAAAAAGATTAACGGTTTAAATATTTGATTCAATAGTAAATGTATTTATATTTCTATAAAGGGTTGTGAATTTTTAATTCTTTAAAAAAAAAGAAATTCTTAAATTAAGATAAATACAATTTTGTTAAAATGAGAGAAAATACCTAATGTATATTTTGGTATGATTGGATAACTCTTTATCCTCTTATGTATGTCAATTACATAATGTTACACAAACAGCAACAATTTAATAATTTTTTTTAGAAGTAAATTAAAACGAAAATATGAACCGGTTACTAACTTAGTATTTGATTCAACGGTAAATATTTCATAAAAGACTTAGATGGGAATCTCATTAATATATGATCTAACTAACGGTTAATATTCCATAAAAAATAGATTCGAATCTTAACAATTGAAAAGAGTATTATATGTCCAATGCAAAATAACATTAACTCTTTGCAAAATGCTATTTTCCAATTTATCCACCGAATTTGAAAAGACTTGAGTGAAACGTTATTCAAGTCTATGACTTTCCAACGTATTTTAAATTGGTTTATGGACCAAATCGTTTGAGTCTTTGACTTTATGTACCCGTGGAATAATATATTATATATATAAAACAAAGTTACATCTAAAAAAAAAAGAAAAAAGAAAAACAAAATAGTGTAAACATTACTCACGCTCTTAGCACGAGACGAAGACCGAAATGTGATTACGTTCAACACCACCCTTGCCTACAAGGCCACGTGGATCCGTTTAACTATTTTTCACACAAAAAAAATTTCGCTAAATTATTTTTCATTTAGCAAAAAAAAGGGCTCTGTTTCTCTATCTCTCTCTCTCTCTCTCTCTCTCTCTCTTTCTCAAATGCTACTCAAATCTCTGCAATTTCTTAGCTAATCTCCCTCTTGAATCGCATCGATCTCCTCTCCTTCCACCCTCCTCTGTCTCTCAATAAAGAAAATTAATCTCACTTTCCTTCACTTTCTCTCCTCCCAATCACTCTTTTGCTAACGCGCTAAAAAGGAAAAACGAAAAATAAGAATAGTTTGTCTAACTCCGTTTCCTGATTCCATGAAGATCTAGAGTTTCGAATGCTTTCTTAGCTCCAAATCGGAGTTTCTCATTCACATTTTCCAATGGATAATTAAAAATGAATTTCTGAGCTTAAATCTTCTTCTTCTTCTTGTTTTTTTTTAATTTAATTTTTGGAAGCTGATTTTTATTTTGATCTGTGCGGAAACTTTGTTTGAGGCCTGTTTGGTTATGTGAAGAAAAGAAAAAAATGGAGGCAGTTGTTGTTGGAGATGTGGCGTGTTTGGATGCGGAGCTATTGCAGCTCCAGGAGATGTCTCCATTAGCTCTCAAATCCAATCCTGAATTCACTCAAAAGCTTTTTGAACAGTGGCTTTCGCTTCCTGATGCTAACAAGCTGGTACTTCGCGTTTTTTTTATTTCGAATCTTCACGCGGTGTTTGATTTGTTTTCGGTTACTTGAATTGAAAATGATTGCGTTGAGTTGCCATTACATTGTTTTAATCAGTTCATTGCTTGGTTAATTTGATAGGATAATTTTTTTTTTAAAAAAAGAAAGAAGTAATTTATATTATGATAATTGAAGTATGTTTGATGCGGCATTATTTTCATTTTTTTTTATGTTTTAATTAGTTCATTATGTATATATGTATGCAAATTTCGTATTAACAAAAGAATAAACGTATGTTAATAGCTTAAATCAATGCTAAAGGGATGTTGTGACTTTCAATTGTTGATTTTCTACATGTCTTTATCAAGTGGTATTATCCCATATTGATTAAGTTTTGAGTTTGCTCTTGACCAAATTGGTTTTTGGTTGGAGACTTAACAGTCTACACAATATCCCAGAATAACGGTTGCCTAGTCTCAAACAATGATAAAACGAATATTGTTTTGTATTTAAATATGGAAATTTTCCTTCTTAGTGACTTTAAAGCAGAACATATTGAATTCATATAAAAATTTTGAAATATTCCTCTGAACCTATGAGTCGAGGTGCACTGTTGTTTAACTGTTGCTGCTTTGCTAGGTGATATCATTGGTTAATGATGCAAAGGCCGGTAATCACTTAAATGTTCATGGAAATACCTCCAGTGGAAGTACTGCCACGAGCAATTCTTTACCTTCCATGTTTCCTGCTGGCAGTGCACCTCCCCTTTCACCAAGAAGTACATCTGGTTCCCCTCGTATAACAAAACAAAGGGTTGGTCCTTCAAACTTGGGTTCTCCGCTGAAAGTTGTTAGTGAGCCCGTGAAAGAGTTGATACCTCAGGTTTGGGGCCTGTTTAATTAATATGCTATTTTTCTTTCTCCATTGCTGTCCTTGGTTGTGTTTTATCTGCTATGTTTAGCTTTCTACTCTGAAGATGGTGATCACTTGTAATATTGGTACTTGAAAATGCCTCCAGTTTTACTTTAAAAATGGTCGTCCACCTCCAAATGAGCTTAAAGAACAATGCATGTTTCGAATCAGTCAGTTTTTCTATGGCCACCAGGATGGGCTGCAGTTGCATGGTAAGACACATGTAAGCATTGTTTTAATAGATGTTTCTGGAACTCATCTGATATTTGTGTTTTACTTTCTATATATATCAGAGTTCAAACTAGTGACCAAGGAAATTTGCAAGCTGCCATCATTTTTCTCCCCATCACTTTTCAGAAAAATTGATGTTAATAGCACTGGTTTGATTACAAGGTATACTCTCTTGTTCATGGAAGTGGAACAGCTATATTTTTAACTTAGATCCATTGTATCCTTTGAAACTGCTAGGATTATGGCCATTCTTTATTTGAAAATAAAAAAAAATTATATTTTTACTTTTTTTCTGTGGTGAGGTGCTCTCCATGCTGGACCTAGTCGGAGAAGTATGTGTTGTAAATTTAAATTGCTACTGATGATGACAACAGATGAAAATATTATTGTAGAATCTAACTCCTATTCTGTTACTTCTCCCTCTAATTGCTTTTCAGCTGTGACATCATTTAGTTCATTTCATATTGTAGCTTTTACTGAGCTTTCCTCTCATCTACTTGTAGAGATGCATTTATTGATTATTGGGTCAATGGCAACATATTGACGATGGATATAGCTACCCAAATATATACAATATTAAAGCAACCAGATCTCAAATACCTCACTCAGGTCTTTTTACGTTTTTGAGAGCTTAAATCGACTGCAATATTGGTTGATAGTCTAATAGTCTGTGTTTAAACTTAATTTCTTCTATACTTTCCAATTTGACAGGATGACTTCAAACCTGTTCTTCGAGAACTATTGGCAACTCATCCAGGGTTGGAGTTCTTACAGAGTACACCTGAGTTTCAGGAAAGATATGGTTTGTTTTCATCTGTTTGATACTTTTTGGTAGTTTTCTCATTTCAATGTGATTTTGAGATGCAAGACTTTTTTAATTTCTGATATTTCCCCCTCCTTTTGCAATATCTAAGGCATTTGAATGCTTATAATGAGTTGTTGCCAAACTGATTCTGTCATTAAATGCTGGAACTACTAATATCTGAACTTGCAATTCCTGTAAATGCATTTATTTTCATGTGATTTTCTATGAGTGCAGTTCACTCTGTTTCTTTGATGAAGTAGTTCTGTCTCTAATGCGTTTAATAATGTATAATACTGTGTTAATAATTATTAATAAAGGACAGTAGCATGTTAATTAGGAAGGAATCCAAGCCTACTCTTTGATCAGAAAGTGTCGAAATTTACACATCTGTCGGACATTACAAAAAAGGTGCATAGAAAACAGGATTTGCATTCTTGTTTAGTTTGTTGGTTGTCTTTAGCAAGAATGATGGCAATATAGCTCTCATTTTGGTCTTTGGTTTCAATTGGTTGGCTTCCTTTTTCTAAAATGCCTGTTTTTAAGATGATGAATTCACACAAGAAATTCTTATAAACAGACCCATCTTTTTAGTTTGATGTGCACATAATCTTATGTTCTTTTTAGATTAGAATGACTGATTGTCAACATATTGAATGAGAGGTTGCAATAGGACCATATTATAATTGTGTGACTGAAAATGAAACTCAAATATCCTACCAATTCATGCATTACAGCTTATTGGATATTTGTCTTAACATGTACGGGATCCTTTCCCATTCAATATGATGTTTACCATTGCTCACACAGTTAGCATAAACTACTAACCCTGTGTTTTTCAATTGTTTGCAAGTCTTGGTTGTCCCAAGTGCTGCGGAATATGCGATTCATTTTTATTGATGTTGCTTGTTAACATAACTTTTGTTGCACATGGCCAGCTGAAACGGTAATATATAGAATATATTACTACATAAATAGATCTGGGAATGGTCACCTCACTCTTAGGGAGTTGAAACGTGGAAACTTGATTGATGCCATGCTACATGCTGATGAGGAAGAGGACATTAACAAAGTTTTGAGGTATAGACTTGGCTTGAATCTCCTTGAACGCATACACTAGAAAACGGATTTTTATGTTGCTTTCAAATTCCAAAAAATATGAATAATTTGTATAATTGCTTTGATACATGCTTAATACATTCTGTTTGATACCAATTGTTTTGACATTTCAATCTTTTCTTCTGCTTTTTGAAAAATATCACCACATATACAGGTACTTTTCATATGAACATTTTTACGTGATATACTGCAAGTTTTGGGAGCTGGATACAGATCATGATTTCTTGATTGACAAGGAGAACCTTATCCGATATGGTAACCATGCGCTTACCTACCAGATCGTTGATAGAATATTTTCTCAGGTTTGTCTGAATCTGATGATACTTTTGTTCCTTGGTCCAAACCTCATTCTCCCTGCAAAATGGCGTTTTTTGTTTAATTGAACTTTGTCTATTTTGGACCACTTTCCTCTTCTACAACTTTTTGTGTTTCATTAATTGATATTTATTTTTAAATTTTGATTTTTCACTCATGTTATGCTTTCATATCATCATAGGTTCCAAGAAAGTTTACCAGTAAGGTTGAAGGAAAGATGGGGTATGAAGATTTTGTCTATTTTATCCTAGCAGAGGAGGACAAGCCATCTGAGCCTAGTCTTGAGTATTGGTATATTTTGTGCTCTTTTTCTGTAGACTCAAGGGTATTGTGGATTTTGTGCACTGATTACAGAGTTTGAAGCTAACCTCGTTATTGTTGAAGTAAATACACCTTTTTTTGTCATATGAACTCACTTTTATAAAAAGTCCCTCAACAATATCTGAAAGTAGCTTTTTTTTCCTTCCCACTTCTCACCTAAAATTTCAGAAAGACTTGTCAGAAGCTGCTGATTGGAAATTAGTCTTAATCAACCAAATTTAACTAAGCAAACAAAGGATGCAAATGATTCATTTGTAGCTTTATGAATATTTCCCTTAATATTTTTCGCCCTGCTGTCAGAGTGAGAAATAGCAGAGTGTTTTGAGGGGGTGGAGCTTCTGAATGATCAATGGCATTGAGATTTGACTTATGAGTAATTTTTTATTCTTGGCTAGTAGTTTTTTTTTTCTTCCCATTGTTCTTTCTTATGGAATACTTCGACATAGTTTGGCAGGGTGGGGAAATATGCCATTACTAGCTAGTAATTGGGGCATTATATTTTTTTCTTTTGTAGGTTCAAGTGTATAGATTTGGATGGTAATGGAGTTATCACACGTAATGAAATGCAATTCTTTTATGAGGAGCAGTTGCATCGAATGGAATGCATGTCCCAGGAGCTTGTGCTCTTTGAGGACATCTTATGTCAGATAATTGACATGATTAAACCAGAGGTTTGCCATTTTATCATTGTTCCCTTTTTGTCTCCTTGCCTTTTTAGTATGGTACATACGGGAGTGTGTTCATGGAAATGAATCAGAATGCACTTTATCTTTGCTAAGTTCTGCTTGTAATTTCAAACTTAAAAGATTTATGCTGGTATCATTCAATTGTCTGTAAGGCAGATTTCTGGCAAATGTTGAGTTCATCGCTGTTCCTGTTGAAGCAGGTTATTCATGGCTGCTTTACAATAGATCATTTAGTGAGATTAAGGCCCTGAGCCTGTGAACTGCTTTTTACCATATTCTGGGTTGGGCCCTTAGGAGCTGATTTTCCAATTCAGTTCTCCTTCCCATACATTGCTAATGAAGATAGATTGTTTTACATTATTGATAATTGAAATTTTCTTGTTTGCAGGATGAGAGCTATATAACATTGCATGACCTGAAAGGTTCTAAACTTTCTGGAAGTGTTTTCAATATCCTTTTCAATCTTAACAAGTTCATGGCCTTTGAAACTCGTGATCCATTCCTCATTCGTCAGGTAAATGTGATACGTCATCTCTAATTTACTTGTTTAACACTACCTTTAAAAGGAACTGTGCACCATTGCACTTCTTTGGTACTTTTGGATAACAGCCTTGTTTATGTCGGAATAAACAGGAGCGTGAGAATCCTACATTGACAGAGTGGGATCGTTTTGCACATAGAGAATATATTAGGCTTTCAATGGAAGAAGATGTCGAAGATGCCTCTAATGGAAGTGCAGAAGTTTGGGATGAATCACTTGAGGCTCCCTTCTAAGTTGAATAGGGTAAGAGTTTCCAGTTCATGCCCTCCTGTTTTTGTATTGTTCTGGTTTTTTGTGAAATAAAAAAGGTACTAGCTAATGCTGAAGACAGATTGTCTCAGCTGGGGCAGGGATATCTTCAGGTCCTAGTACCGGATTGGGTGCTCTGTCTGCGAATGCTTAAGACGGAAGAATTAAGCTAAAATAACAGCAAAGCATTTATAATCAATCAACCTGGAATTTCATGCAAACTCGACAACGAATTTCTGTTCACATCTTATATCTGACTTATTTTTGCATGATCTTCATGTCTCTCAGTACAGGTGCTCAGAGAAGAGCTCCACACACTTCTATGCTGGGCACCAGAAAGGGAATGTCAACCGAGGGAGTTGGGCCTTGAATGGGCGGTCGGATCTCATTGGAGGAAATTTTTGAGCTTGGCCTTGTGGGATGTACTCTTGATGCACAAGTCAGAGGACTCTCAGGCCTTTGCATGCATGATTTGACAAACAAATGATGAATCATGCAATTGGGGCCCGGCTTTATATTTAAGCAATTTTCGCATGGACGAGTAACTGCTGGGCGGTGATAATTGAAATCCAGGTTTAAAGAAGCTGAGAACATTTTACTATCCTTTCCATTCTTGAATTTAAGATACAATCTAAGTCCGTTTTTCATTTTCCTCCTTGGGGTCCTACTTGGTTCATTTAGTGATTTCATCGAGTATGGTTGGTTACTGGGTTGGCGTGTTAGCTCTCTATTTATGTACAATTTTGGTTTGGATCGTGGTCATTTAGCAATTGATTTTAGTTGCCCCCCTCCCCCCTTTTTTTTTCATTTCTATTTTCGGTTTTTACCATTTAGTCATGTGTTATGAACATAGATTAAGTAAAATGGTGTATTTATTTGTGAAAGTCGAAAATTTGTGTTGTAAGTTAATTGAATAAAGAGGTGGGAGTTACAATTGAAAGCGGTATTGGGAATTATTGAACTAAATGCCTCATGGGATATGTGTATATTGATCAAACAATTTTCCTCATCTTTTAACACCTCAAACCAGTTTTATTGTTCAACCCAGTAAATTTGAAAAGGAAGTACCATAGACTAAAACAACCTATAATTTCTTGTGCATATATATTCATATATATATATATATATTTACAAGAGTGAGAGGTTTAAATTTTGTTTTTTAAAAAAATTAATATATTAATTAATAAATTAAATGATAGAATGCATGTATATATATATATATATATATATATATATATATATATAGTCATTCATTGTGTACAAGACAACGGGGCAAAAAGAAATTTCTTAAGAAGTTGAAGAATCTAAATAGAAAAGAAGAATATATTTCAAAAGAAAGAAGATGATGAAAGCCAAGTTTGATTGGGATGATTGTCTGATTGACAATGAAATCTTAAAAACGCATTGTTGATAAAGCCAACTGAAGAAGATTCCTACCTCCTTTTCTTTGTTAGATTTGTTTAACTCTATACCAAAAATAAATCCTCAAAATCAAACAATTTTTTCTTTTAGAAAATTTTTAATAACTTTTATTTATGTTCTTTCATGAAATTTTAATTAAAAAAATAATTTGTACTATAAAGAGAGTTCAAAGGTCAAAGGGTAGGAAAGGAGGGTGAAAAGTGAAAATTGCCCAATCCAACTGTTACTACTATAATAGTCTAAACTCAGAAGAGCTAAAGACACACAAAAAAAAAAAAAAAGAGAAAAGAGTGTTAAACCCTAAGCCCTTCTTCCCCAAGCCGCAAACTTCATCTCGAGAACACTAGACTCTTAGCTCCTGGAATTTTATTTGCTAAGTTAAATCCCTGCAGTTTGATTCAACGACGGAGACAATGAAGGTGGTGGCTTTAGTCAGCGGCGGCAAAGATAGCTGTTATGCAATGATGAAATGCATCCAATATGGCCACCAGGTTTTTCTGTTTGTTTCCCGAGAAAATTAAAATAACAAGAAAAAGAAAAAAACCCAACAACTTTTTTAAGTACTTTATAAAAGCTCAAAGCTTTTTGGGAAATATGGTGTCTTAAAAGAAAAGGGTACTCAAAAGAAGTAATAGAATTTTTTTTTCTTAAATTTTTTTTTTAATTTAATGGTTTACAAAGAAGTTGACATTTTCTTATTGGTGTTTGGGTTTAGATTGTTGCTGTAGCTAATTTATTACCAGCTGATGATTCAGTGGATGAGTTAGATAGCTACATGTATCAAACTGTAAGTCTCTGCTGAATTCCAATTCTTGTCTTTTGTTTTTCTTTTTTCTTTTTATACATATTTTTCTCACATGTCTATGTCATTTAAAAAAGGATTTTTTTTAATTCAAATTATGAGATGCGCCATGGTTTTATATATTTCCGCTTGTATGAAAGTGGTAACAATATCTTACTTGATTCTTTGTTAAGTAAAAATTTTTCTTTTAATTCTTTTAGAACTAAGAGTTTGCAAAATATGCATATGTACATGAATTCGACATGAATATTAAATGTCTTCTTTGTGCAGGTAGGGCACCAAATAATTGTAAGTTATGCAGAATGCATGGGAGTTCCATTGTTCAGAAGGCGAATACAAGGATCCACAAGGCAAGCCCTTTAAATGAGATTATTGTGGTAAAACCATTTATCTTATTTCGGGGAACTTATAATCCTCCCTCTGTGTCCCAATTATGAAAGGAAAAAAAAAAAAGAAGAAGCTATCTTTGCTTGTCTTGTCACAATTACTTGGCTTGTCCTGTAATTTGGCCTTTTCCATATTCCTAGTTACGTGTTCCTTTTAAGTTTGTTTTAGCTGATATGAACTTGTAAACATTGTTATTAAGAACTTTGCAAGCTTCGCTATGTATCTCTTTGTTTGCGCAAATCATGCAATTGCCAGATTGTACGTGATGCTGTTAGGCAAATCATATGTTTCCTGTCACTGCTTAACAATCAGGGAAACATCATGGAAAATACATTTATAGTTCATTTTGTAAGTAGGCATATCATGAAGAAATTTTCGTTATTTTTGCTAAAAGTAAGTTGTAGATAGCCTGCTTGTCAGATTAGTTGACTTTCAACTGAGCATCTGCTCTTTCAACTTGGCAAATGTACATTTTGCAAATTCTCATTCTGATTCTTTTGGTGACTATTGTAGGCATCAGAAACTTAGCTACAGAACGACACCAGGTGATGAAGTTGAAGATATGTTTATTTTGTTAAATGAAGTTAAGAAACAGATACCTTCAATCACAGCAGTTTCTTCTGGTGCAATTGCATCGGATTATCAAAGGCTAAGGGTGGAAAGTGTCTGTTCAAGGTTAGGGCTTGTTTCTCTGGCATATTTGTGGAAACAAGATCAATCATTTCTTCTCCAAGAAATGGTAACTTTTATTTATTTTTTAATGTGAATAGTAGTTAATCAGAATTCAGATCATTTGTCTCACATGTTATTATCTCTTTGTCCCTCTCAGATAACGAATGGCATTGTGGCTATCACAGTCAAGGTATGTAGTATTGTTAATTAATTCTTTTTTAATTATTTTTATAATATTTTTTAGATGTCTTTCTGCATGTTCTATATAGATTTTTTTTTTGGTTATTTCTTTTATGTGATACTTCATCATATCTATTTTAATTGAAATATTGTGTATTCAATATTGAAATATTATGTCATAGGTTGCAGCCATGGGGTTGGACCCTGCAAAGCACTTGGGCAAAGAAATAGCATTCTTGAAACCTTATCTGCATAAACTGAAAGAGTATGTCAGTGCTTTTTTTGTACTCTCTTGCTCAGATGCATGATTTACCTTTTAATATTTCAAGTGTGGCTGCAAACTTAGATTTTTCCTTTTTAACTCCCTTTTGGCAGCTTGTATGGAATAAACGTATGTGGTGAGGGAGGGGAATATGAAACTTTGACTCTTGACTGCCCACTCTTCCATGTAAGCTTAACTGTTGACTAGTCTACTGGTGAAAATATTTTCCTTAGCACCTTCATTCCCACCATTCTTTTTTTCATTTTAGTGGCTTAGGCTATATTTGATAGTCATGTACTGAATAAAGGTAGATTTGCATCCCAGTTGTATTTAACAAATACTTTGCTCATTGTTTATTCATCATAACTTTTAACATTTACAATTGTTCAGAATGCTCGAATCACGGTTGATGAATCCCAAGTTGTGCTGCACTCTTCAGATTCCATTGCTCCAGTTGGGGTGCTACATCCATTGAAATTTCACTTGGAAAGAAAGGCAAAGTCCAACTCAATAAGTGGTAATGACAAAAGCAATGATCTTTGTCTGGAGAATATCAGTTCTGTATTTGAAGTGCAAGGAGAAAACCCACTAGAATGCAAGGCGCCTTGCGAGTCTGTTCCTGAAGCTAGTGACTTAGTTGAAGTGTCAAGTCATAGGCTTCACCTCTCTAAAACAGAAAAAGATGATACATTTTCTATTTGTTGCTGGTTGCAAGATCCATCAGAACCTTCTGCAGGTAAAAAAAAAATGATGCTTTTGAGACGTGCAGTAGCCATCTCATATGCAATGTCTTCTTCCTTTCTATTTAACCAGTGTTTTCAGATACAACACTACAATTAATAACTGTTCTGGATTATTATTATTTTGTAGGTTTACAGGAAGATTTGAAGCTGATCCTTAGGCAAATTGAGTTGCAACTTCAAGGATGTGGTTTTGGTTGGGAGCATGTGCTTTATATCCATCTCTATATTTCCGATATGAATCAATTTAATCTGGCAAATGAGACATATGTGAGATTTATTACCCAGGACAAGTGCCCTAATGGTGTTCCATCACGAAGTACTATTGAATTGCCTTTAATTCAAGCGGGTTTAGGGGGAGCATATATTGAAGTACTAGTGGCCAATGATCAGAGCAAAAGAGTTTTGCATGTTCAAAGTATTTCATGCTGGGCACCAAGTTGCATTGGACCATATAGCCAGGTATGTTTAATCATGAGATTTACTTGTCTCAATCACTGAAGATCCCTTTTTTACATTTTTCTACTTTATATTTTTCAAAAGAATATTGAAATAAATTAGAGAAAGTGTCTAACAATTAAGCCACTTTTTCTTTTACTTATTCCGTTTGGGTTTTTTTTTTTAGGCGGGGTGGGGAGGTGGGGGAATGGTGGGGATGGATTGTATGCACGGTGATGATGTTCTTGATGAAAAGAGATTGGACTGGGATCCCCTCAGAATCATAGATTATAAGAGGTCTCATGCTAAATGTTAAAAGATGACTGGTTCTCGTTTTTTTCTTTTTTGGGTCATGCTTGATATCTAGATGAATATGGCATTGTTTCTATCAGCCTGCAGTCTAGTCAGCTTTTAATTTGATCAGTTTTACTTTTAGGCAACTTTGCATAAGGAGATACTTCACATGGCTGGTCAGTTGGGACTCAATCCACCTACGATGACTCTTTGTGGTGGAGGCCCCACTGCAGAACTTGAGCAGGCACTACAAAACTGTGAGGCAGTAGCAAAATGCTTTAACTGCTCAATATCTACTTCTGCTATTATTTTTGTGGTTTACTGCTCGACAAATATTTCATCAGATGAGAGACCCAAAATCCATGACAAGCTGGATTCATTTCTGAAACAAATTAAGCTTTCTCATTTGGATGAAGGGAGAAAACCGAAAGTGCTTGATCCTATTTTTCTTTATGTCCTAGTTCCAGATCTGCCAAAAGGGTAAGTGGTCCATATGTAAAACTTTTCAATGAATAATAAGGATGCTGATGAACTGACCTGTAAAAAGGAAGTTTTCACCTTGAAATTCTGTGTTTGTTCTTTTACTGGCAGTTTGAGTCACTAGAATACTGAATGACTAGTTGAATAAGTAATGATATGCATTGCATAACCACATGGCATTCCATCACCTTTTATTTTTGGTATTGCAGAGCACTTGTAGAAGTAAAGCCTATTCTTTATGTCCCAGAGACATCAGAAACGACTGAAGAAACTTTGAATGACCTTTCTGGTGTAATGGCACCCAGTTATTTTGGTTTCCAACCTGCAGACTGGCATGATTCTTGTATTCAGAAATTTGTCATTCATGGAAAGATATGTGCAGTTGTTTTGTCTATCACAAGTGCAGTTGCCCTGAAGATTTGTTCTGATTCTATGAATGCTGATTGGAGCAATGGGAATCATCACAATTATCTCACAGCGGGCCAAATGAAAAGAATATCTAGATTCTGCATCTATGTTCTTGACAAAATCATTATGGAAAATGGTTTCTCTTGGAAAGACACCATGGTAAGTTTCTCAAGCAAATGCCTTGTTATTAACATTGATTCTAAATAGAGTTCTATCCTGTTGATCATTAGTTAAAAAAATGCTTCTCAAGATTCATCAAGAAAATTTCATAATGTTAGGTTTTGTTTCGTGGTTCCTGGGGTTCTCACTTGCTGTTCTGTCATTTGTTTTATAAATCCTCTTGTTTTATTTGTTTTTCTCTGTTTTCATTATAGTTCCTCACATTTATTTCCCCATTTTTTTCTAGAGTTTGAGATTCTACTACCCACCAAACCTTCTTGTGCCTTTGGAGACATTGTCACTTTTGTTCACAGACGCATTTAAGGAACTTGATCAGATGAGTGGTAGTGCTAAAGTTGGCGGGAAGTCCATCTTCAATGTTGTTCCTGTCCTAGGTGCTGGAAAGTATGCTGCATGCACAGAAGATATAATCACCTGTGAGCTGTTCGCCCGGAAATCTTGACCCGCTACTTCAAGTAGCATCATCTTTGTGCTCCAAGGGATGGATTAGTTTACAGAAAGAAACGATTCATTCTCGAAAGTTAAAAAGGAATACTGAAACAGTCACCCTGGTGTGCTTTGCTTTTGAAGGGGAAATTCTATCGGTCAATTCATTTGTAAGATTTCATGACAATCAATCTCTCACATTACCAGGTACAAATAAGTAGTAATCTACTTGCAAGGAATATAAAGAATCTTGATAAAGTCAATTTCAAATGTAAATTGCATGATTTATGGGTATATTCTGATTGAGAATTTCTTGGGAAAGTCAGTTATTCTTGGTGCAAAGGCTGTGTTTCTTAATTTGTCTCAATTGATAGTAGTTCTGATTGAGAATTTCATGCAGAATGCCATAGGAGAAAGCCCCTCATCATCACCCCCCCCCCCCCCCCCCAATCGGAAGTAACATGGCACTTTGATATTTTATTAGCATTTTCCTTTGGTATAGTGTGACAAATACCTAAGGTTGACATATGAAGGCCATGACAACTAACCTTACTAAATTAGTAAATCATTGGACAAAGTTTGATTATAAATTATACTAGAGTGCTGCCCCGCTTCGCGTGGGTGTTGAATATTTTTTATTAAAAATAATTTAAAATTATATAATATTATAAATAACAATAATAATAATTAAAAAGAAATAATTTTAAATTTAAAAATACTATAAATAATAGTTATAATGATAATTTAAAGATAATTATTTAAAAAAAAAATTTTAAATATTTTCTCATCTCTTATTAAGCAAAATTTTTTATTAAAGTAATTTTTTTTAAAACATTTGATTATAAATTATATACTTTTATTCAATAATGCTGCATAATTTTTAGAATAAAATATTTTAAGTTTAAATTAAAATTATATGGAGTTCATTAGTTTGAAAAATTGATATTCTGTTTTAAAAGAATGTCTATCATTAAACACATAAGTCAAATTGTTAATCAGATTTCTGTTAATTTGTTGATGTGGTAATATTTTTTAACATTTTACCATCAAATATGTTAAAATTACAATATTATGTAAACTTTTATTTTTCATTTTTAATTTTTTTCTTTCTTACAAACAAAAAACCTTTTATATAAACTTTGAGGGAGTTGTAGGGTTCCATTAAGGGAGCTGTCGTGCTCCTTTAATCTGGAGCTCCATATCGTGATAAATCTGACGCTCCTGGATGTCAAGCAGCGTCAGATTTAGTTATGGGGTGGCCGGTCGGGGTAAGAGAGCGTCATCGGTAGATCATATTGTCTGAAAAAAGAGAAAATTTGAGAGAAAGAGGAAAGGGTATTTTAATTTTTTTTACTTTTCTTGTTAATAATATTAGATCTGGTGTTTACTTTTCAAACTAATGAATCACTGTGTAATTTTAATTAATACTTAAAAATATTTTATCTTAATTTTTTATATAAATCAACATGCGCGGAAATTGTACAACTAAAGCAAAAAAATAAGAATGAAAATGACAAATAAAGAGTACTGGGACAATTTGCATGTGAGATGTCTTCATTTCATTATTAAGAAAATGATTCAAATGATATGAGTTAGGTTTTGTCACCCCAACATCCTACTAATTTGATTGCAAAACATCAAATCTTCATAATGAAAACACTTGACTATGTCTTAATGTTCATATTTTGAAAAACTCTCAGCCAAAGTCACATCCTCTAATTTGTCCTTTTAGGAGTCTGCTATAGATTTTTTGGTAATTAGTTATGAGTAGTTTTCTATGGGATGAAGCAAAATCAAAAGGACTGTTTACCAGCAATTTGCTTATCTTCTGTCCCATAGTTCTTGGCAACAAAAGTTTTCCAGTCAAATTTTGGAAACCTGTTTATGTCATTTATTATCACCTTATTTTTTCACTTTTCATCTCCTTTTACTAGTGGCACTTATGTAATTTTTTTATCATATTGAAATATAATTTTACACTCGACTTTAGAATCACATTTCATAAACACATCGATCGAGAATCATATAAATGAATATTAATATTATTTTTCATGTTTTTTAAGATATGGGTATTTGTCAATTTTTTAAATCCAAATCCAACTATTCCACCCCTAATAACTTGACATTGGTAATGGTTCAAATCTCTCTCAACATGCTTTCACTAAAAATTAAGAAAGAAAGATGATGAAGAAGGAAGAAGTTCCATAAGTAGGAATAAGAAGGCCCAGCTTTTCCTTGAGGAACTCTCTGTTTTAGGGGAAATTTAACCTTGGCAAGGCCTACCCTTTAGCCTTGGGTCATTTTTCCCCTGTAATTTTGATATGTATTTCCTCTTCACAAGTTTATTATCATAACTACTCTTAAGTCCCAAAATAGTTTATATTTTCTTATCCCTTTGTCCAGTCCACTCAAGTCTATTATTATAATATATATATATATCACATAAAATGCACAAGGCATGAGCTAAGCAAGCACATAACTATTAATTGTAACCTCACTTTTTTTTTTTCTCTTTCTTCTTTTTATGTATATAATAATGTAAAGGTTAACCCCCCAAGATGACAGAAACTAACAAATATAACTTTATCCCAATAATTCAACGAAACTTAGGAGTTGTCACCAACTGGACAAATTATAGCTTGTTTTTCTCTGGTACAAGGCTCAGTTGCCATCATATCACCCTCATATTCATAATCAACAATGGTGACAGTTGCCAATGTACCCTTAACAGACCATTGTTTCATGATCAGCCATAAAATTGTGAAAGTGACCTTTGACAGGCAGAGATTTGGAATCAGATTTTTGAACCCACAGCCCCTGTCTTGGGTAAAAGAAAGAAGTGCCAAGTTTTTTCAGTTTGTTTCCATGGCCAAAGTAAGGGTCCTTACCCTAATAAAAGAAAAGCAAAGGAACAAAATTACAAAAGGTTTTTGAGACTTTTTGTTGAGGAACCACAGCTCACATGGGGAAAGAAGGGGACCAGAGACAGTTTTAAGGGCAAAGCATGTGTGTTAAGGCAAAAGATAGCACCCCCCCCACAAATTTTGTACTAGTTGAGAAGCTTAAAAGAGGGACATTACCCAACATTTTGAGCTCAAAGCTCACTACCATTGATATCATATGGACCTCATCCTTTATGGTCCACACCAACAACCCTAAAAATTTTTTTTTGAAAAAAACAAAACCATAATAAAATACAAAAGGTTAGTAAAGAGAAGAAGCATGGCTTTTTGCAGAAACTATGTTAGGGATAGGGCACTGATCAGGTCAAACATTAAAGCTAAACAAGGAGAAAAAGGAGACAAAACTGTTTTGGTTGGTCATGAGTAATGGGGTTCTTCCAGTATATTGGAAAAGGAGGCCCTTTCTTAATTATTTTCCCCACCCCATTCTTTAATGAACATGATGACACAGTCATGGATCAAGCTTGAAGCTTGAAGCTTGAAGCTTTCAGGACTCCTGGTAGGGTTTTGATGACTCAATCCTTCTGACTTTCGCATTAAGTTAAGTTTTATGGGAGTAATTGGAGGTAGGTGGTTGTGTATTTTTATGATCATTATTCAAAGCTGAAATGAAAAATAAATAAATAAAAAATAAATGAAGTGAATAAAAATTATTTACTATTACGATTTAATTTGTAATTATATTTTTCTCCATTATTATGTTATTTATAGTTTATGTTGCTTCCTTCATTTTGAAGATAGTTCCTTGGGAAATTTATGGGGTAAGTTAAAATTAATATAAATTTATGACTTTTTTACTTTTGAGGGAACAAAGTCATTGATTATTTATAACAAGATCCTTGATTCAAAATCTAAAGTTTAATTCTTTAACTTTTCTAAAAAGCAAATAAGAAAAAGGAGAAAAGTTATTTATTTATTTATTAAGTGAGAAATTTATATCAAATCAAGCCTACCACTGTAGAATCATTCAACTATACAAACCCAATGATACTGTCCACTCTACATTTTTTCTCTTTTTACTAATTTGGTTTTGGGAAATGATATTTACTTAGATTAATAGGAATTGTTTGGGTTTACGGTTAATAAAAATGAGAAAAAAATAAAAAAAAAGTTAAAGATTTATTTCACACTTGACGTATGATGACAATTTTATTTTTAAAAAAAATATTTCATATCAGCATTCGTAACCATAATGATCACGTCAACTAAATAAATTAAATAATTGTTCTCGATAGGATCCGTTTTTAAAAATATAAAAATTGATTGATTAAAATTGCAATAAAAGAATTAAAATGAACATTTCATCTTAAAATTTGTGATAAAAATTACCCAAGAAATCAATCAATTTGGACTATGACCAAAATAAAAATAGCAATAAAATATATATTTATATATAAATAAATCAATGATGCATTTTCTCCATTTAGGCTTCTTTCAAGAAGAATAAAAAATGATAGCAATTTGGAAGTAGGAACAAGTCATAGTAATGGAAAATTAAGGAAAAAAAAAATACTAGTGTCAAATGGCCTTTGGAAAAGAACAGAGGGGCAATCAGATTTCACGTGAAGCTTAGGTGGTTCCAAAGAGGTTGGGTGATGCAAATCCACTGCTTCCATTTTCAGACTTTTTCCGACTTATATATATATATATACACACATAATTATTATTATTATTTTTTTTAATTTATTTAATTTTAAATTTATTTTAATATAATATTTAAAATCGAACAGACCTATACCTTTTTTTCGATCTTTTAACTAAATTACGGGTATTCGTAATATAATATTAATTAACATTTCTATGAGTATATAATGAATTCATCGATAACAAATTGGCCGTTTTTCTTTTAAAATTATTTAATAATTAATTTTACAAATTAGTAGGGGATTTTGCTCTAACTCTGACTTCCACAAAGAACAAAAACAGTAGCATCAGTGGTAGTTTCCCATCACATTTGGGGGTACTGAATCCTAAAATTCAATGCAGGTTTCAACATTTTTTTATGTCTTATGGTTGGGCCAAGACAAACCTTTATGGGAAAATTAAAAAAAAAATTACCATACTTCGATTTTCCATCCTAAATATTTTAACACTTTTATATTGGATTTTTCACATCCCATTTTATTGTTAGTTAAAATATTCTTTGCCAAATATGGTTTAAATTGTTCGATTTTTTTCATTCCTAGATGAATTAAGTTAAAAAAATTGTTTTGAGTTTTTTTGTTTAATTATTTTAATAATTCAAGAAAAAAACACATTTTAAATTATTTAATCCGAGATTAAATGTACTATCTAATAAAAATGAATTAAAAATATACCATCGATTCGTATGGTTTTTTTATATAATAAGGTTTTGAAAAAATTACGAAATTAATTTAGGAGGCGTTGTTTGAACAATACTTTGATTTTGCAGTTGCTGAATTCCGAGTCAGCATCGGACAGCGCTTTGATCTTTCAACTAAATTTGGAGATCCTGTGAGAACAGAACAGAAGCCAACTGAAATGGCAACGGGGGGTAAATTTTGTCAAGACCGAGGGGCAAATTAAATTGTACGGATGCTAAAGTTTGCTGTGACGACGAGACCGATCATGGAAAAAAAATTGACAGCAGGGAAGTGAAAATAATTATTTTTCTATCCACCAAAAAAAAAGAGAAAACTATCTCATAAAATTGAATGCTGAAGGTTAATTAAATGAAGTTGTTGAGGTACTGTTATTCATGTACAAAAATTGTGCACTGAGTAAATAATTGGAAAATGAAAGAAATTTAATAATTTAAATAGAATAAGTGTTTTATTTTAGAAATTTTTAATTTTTTTTAAAAAAATTATTCTGGAATTATATTTCAAATGGAGAAGGGTTTTTCAGTTACAATGAATTTGTCCCGGCAAAATTAACTGCTGTGAATGGCAGAAAGGGTAATTTCGCTCCAAAACGAGGGGCATTTAGCGTTCCAGAAGGGCAAGAGGAAAAGGGGAAGAGTAGCGAAAAAGTGAAGAGACGCGACCTGGAAATATGCAGAGGGAAAAAGAAATGGATGGATAGAAAATCAAAATAGATACATTTAGAGAGAGAGAAACTTCAATCGCAAAAAAAAAAAAAAAAAGAGATTTTTCAGTGAGAGAGAGAGCAAGAGATCTGAGTCAAGCAACGAGTTGGGTGGAGGATTCAGTCGACTCGGGTTGTGTAGGGGAGCACTGTTTCAAAGATTAAGATCGTGACCAGTCGGATCCTGTATCTTGAAATTGACGTTAACCGTCCGATTTAACCCCTCTCTCTCTCTCGCTCTCTCTCTTTAAAGTTACAATCTATTCTAAAGCCGAATTGAAAGGGAAAGAAAAACCTAATCGATCGGGTCGGGTTTCGGATCTTTGTTTAGATGCTGCTTCTGCTTCCTCAGGTTTGTCTTTTTTTTAAAAATTATTTTCTTTTATTTTCTGTTTGGTTGCTTAGGAAATGAAGGAAAATAAATGAAGAGGAAAGGAGAATGAATGACAATTTTTGGTGTTGTTTTTAAAAAATATATGTGAATTTTAATTTAGTTTACGATATCGAAAATGCAGGTGTCTGGATTTTTTTTTAAAAGGAAGTTTAGTAATTTATGTATTGGTGTAAAAAGAGCGAGCAAATTTTTTATGGTAATATGGAAAGTTTATTTATTTGAGCTCATATTTTTATTGCGACCTTTTTGGGGGCTTACATTACAGATTTGACCTCTGTGGAAGCTTTAACTTCACTGTAAATGGAACTGAGGATGAAAAAGTGGAAGGCATTTGAACAATGGTGAAGAAATTACAGCATTGCCGGGGTTTTTTGTAACTTCAATTTCATTTTGGAAGAGTTAGTTTACTAAAAGTCCTAATCTTGTCAGTTGTGGAACCTTTGAAAAAATAGAATATTTTATCTTAAGGTTGTTGTTTTGGAGAATTTGAAACAAAGGTGTAAGTGGGCTTTTGTTAATTTTTATGTTTTTAGTGTTAGGGGTATTGGAGATGGAGGAAATCATAGCTTAGGGATAAAAATCTAAAGTGTGAGTTAAGTGTAATGGAGGATCTTTCCAAGTATTCCCACAGTCCTGCCCATTTAGCTGTTGCCCGTCGTGACTATGCTGGGCTTAGGCGCATTATCTTGACACTCCCTCGGCTTGCCAAGGCTGGTGAAGTTAATACTGAAGCTGAATCTCTTGAGACTGAGCTCCAGGCCGATGCTGTCTCAGCTGTCATAGATCGTCGTGATGTCCCAGGTAGGGAGACTCCATTGCATTTAGCAGTCCGGTTGCGAGATCCAATCTCTGCAGAGATTTTGATGGCAGCTGGAGCAGATTGGAGTCTTCAGAATGAGCATGGGTGGAGTGCTTTGCAAGAAGCGGTATGCACAAGGGAAGAAGCGATTGCTATGATTATTGCACGACACTACCAGCCACTTGCCTGGGCAAAATGGTGTCGTAGACTTCCCAGGATTGTCGCCTCAGCAGGTCGTATCCGTGATTTTTACATGGAGATAACTTTTCATTTTGAAAGTTCAGTCATTCCTTTTATTGGTCGCATTGCACCATCAGATACTTACCGTATTTGGAAGCGGGGTTCAAATCTCCGTGCTGATATGACACTTGCTGGATTTGATGGGTTCCGCATTCAAAGATCAGACCAAACATTTCTCTTTTTAGGGGAGGGCTACACTTCTGAGGATAGTAATCTTTCTCTTCCTCCAGGCTCTTTGATTGTTCTTGCTCATAAGGAGAAAGAAGTTACAAATGCTCTGGAGGGGGCTGGTGCACAACCAACAGAATCAGAGGTTGCTCATGAAGTAGCTTTGATGTCTCAAACTAATATGTATAGGCCTGGCATTGATGTCACTCAGGCTGAGCTTGTTCCCCATTTGAATTGGAGGCGCCAAGAGAGAAGTGAGATGGTTGGAAACTGGAAGGCTAAAGTTTATGATATGCTTCATGTGACAGTCAGTGTGAAGTCAAGGAGGGTTCCTGGTGCAATGAGTGATGAAGAACTTTTTTCTGTGGATGATGAAGAAAGGTTGGCAAATGGTGGCGAGAATGATGAGTATGATGATGTGTTGACAGCTGAGGAAAGAATGCAGTTGGATTCAGCACTTCGTATGGGAAATTCAGATGGTTTTTGTGATGATGAGCATGGAGTCCTTGACTGCCAAGAAAATGGTTCAGGAGGGTGCTATGAAAATTCTGAATCAAATGGTGTTGCTAAGGAGAAGAAGAGCTGGTTTGGCTGGAATAAAAAAGTCTCAAAGAATAGTGATGATCCTGAGGATTCAAAGATTTTAAAGAAGTTCTCAAAGTTGGCCCCTGAAGGTAGCAATCAGAAACAAGTTGATGGTCAGAAATCATCTTCTGAATTTACAAAGGAAGATACAGTGGATGGGAAGAAGGGTAAAGATAAAGGCAGCAAGAAGAAGAAGAAGAAAGGGGGCATTACTGATGCTAAACATGAGAGTGAGTACAAAAAGGGTTTGAGACCTGTTTTGTGGTTAACACCGGATTTCCCTTTAAAGACGGAGGAGCTCCTGCCTTTACTTGACATATTAGCCAACAAGGTCAAGGCTGTGAGGAGACTAAGGGAGCTTTTGACAACTAAACTGCCATTGGGCACATTTCCTGTCAAGGTGATTTTAGGATATATGCTCAAAAAATTATCTAATTTTATGGTAAAAATCCAGTTTATTTTTAAATTGTATGCATAAATCATGCTTTATTTTTAATGTCAATGCAATATTTGTTATTTTATTTATTTTGGTGGTTGGAAGGGAAGAAGTGTTGATAAGAATCACTGAAGTGGAATTGAGGTTTTACAGTTGACTAAAAGAGGTAGTCATGATGTCTATATATATATATATATATATATATATATAAAAGAATCTATATCTTAAAGCAGGAAAAATTATCTTAGGAACGAGGTTAGAGCAAATACTCAAAATGAGGAACAGTTTGCCGGCCATAGTTTTATTTGCTTGTCTCCTGCGAACTAATAACCCCGTTTACTTCATATGAATGCTATAAAATATATGAAATGAGTCTACTAGTGGTATCCTTGGTGCTATGGTGTCTTAATATCCAATCGCATTGTTTAATGAAGATTGGCTAGTAAATTGAAAAAGTGCAGAAGTGGGGGGCTGTTATGTGTAACTTGTGAGTTGAGGTACAGTAGATGTGAGCTCATTATTATTTGAGAATAATACTTAAGTAACGGTAATGAAAAACTTGAGATACATATGTGCCAGATCTCATTCTTATATTACTAATGGTTTAATATATTGTTTCCAGTTGAAAGTTTTAGGAGTTGTTTGCCCATTGCTCGTACTAATCTTGTAATCTGAATCCATGTTATTGGTGTTTGTGTCTGATGATAGAATGCTGAGGTAGTTTTTGTCCATGGGTGGTGGAGAAATTAAATGAATAAATATATGTGAGGGGAATATGCTGTGTAACATCTTTCTTTCTGTTGGATCTACAATATTCCCTCAACTATCATAATGGATTAGTGCTGATGCTTATGGACCCAAGCTCAAGTCTTTAGGTGAAGCTTGTGTGTAATATAGGTTTGAAGAGAGTGTCTTGGCATTTAATGTTTCGAAATGACTGGATTCTTGAAACTATAAAAGTATCCTTGATTGTGGAGGTGAATATTTTTTAAGGTTTGGATGTTTAGGTTATGTTAGAACTATCACGGTCTGAAGGAGAAGCCACTTTTCACATTTATATTAGGTTTGCAAGATTTCTGGAATCTGTGCAGAACCTCTACAGTTAAATATTTATATCGTCAGACATGACAAGTGTGGGGTTTTGGGTACTATTTACATGTTTACATTTGCATTTTTAGTTTAGGCTATTGCTTTGTGCATTATCGTGAGGCAAAATAATTCGCAACTTGTTATTGACAGTTTCAATTGTCTGTTTTCTTTTAACACCCTTCAATCATGAGTGACTTTTGAAAATGGCCCTAATGTACAAGATCTTCATTTTAAGTAGTAATCTGTGGAAATTGTTATGCAAGAGCATAGAAAGTGGTGCTAATGACCAAAACAATACCATTAGTAATATAAGAATTTTTATATGTTCGAGTCATCACTTTTATGAAATTCGAGGAGCTTTCAATGTATTCACGTTGATGTCTCATTCTCCCTTTTCCAGGTTGCCATCCCTATTGTCCCAACAATTCGAGTCCTTGTCACTTTCACGAAATTTGAGGAGCTTCAGCCCACGGAGGAGTTCTCGACACCTCTTTCGAGTCCAGCTCATTTTCAGGATGCCAAGTCAAAGGAATCGGAGGGTTCAACATCATGGATTTCATGGATGAGGGGGAGTCGAGGTGGCCAGTCAAGTGATAGTGATAGTCACCGGTATAAGGATGAGGTTGATCCTTTCCACATACCATCCGATTATACCTGGGTTGATGCCAATGAGAAAAAACGTCGCATGAAAGCCAAGAAAGCCAAAAGCAAGAAGCACAAAAGGCAGGCAGCAGCCAAAGGTGGGGATGGAGCCCATCAGGTGAATGAAGAGGTGGAAGAATAATTACTTTACCCCCTTCACTGGCACCTGGAAGAGAAAGAGGAGGTAAGGCTCCTCCCTGTACCCATCTGACATTTTTCTAATTCCCACTTTGCATTATGGGGCAGTTCATTTGCAGAATGATTTAGGGGATCGCTTTGATTAAGAAGAGCCTTGTCTTCTTCTGTTGTTGTATTGTTATGTGATGTGAAATTGGAGAGGGACAAAATCTCCTCGTTTCTTTAATAGCTTGTTCCAATTCTAATTTTTCTTGGACATCAATCCTTGTATCTAAGCCCATGGTCATCCAATTTTCATTTTTTGTGATTGGTATTCCTTTTCCTGTCATTCTAAGTCATTGTAGCTGTTGAATCCTTCATTTTTCATGCGCTTTTGCCCCCATCTGTCGTCTAGGCAACAGCCATGGGAACTTTCGTTTAAAGCTGGGTCAAAGTTTCAGTCTATCATTTTCCTGGTTTTGGTGGAAGTCGTTTTTCATCTCATCGGTCTCAAAAGCTTCACTAAAAATTTAACCTTGGGGGAGCAGAAGTAAATACCTCGTCTCAAGAAGACCCAATGCATGGAACTTTGTACCAAAATTTTACGGGAAATGATAGCCACTATATCTACATATTGCATTGGTAATACGTATACAAATGGGTATGTACAAACAAAAATAATTGCTGTAAATGGATCTGATATACATGCCTATCTAATCTCTGGTTCTCAGATTTTCCTACCAGAACCTATCCTTATTGACGCTTAAATATCCGGCCATTACTTTTCCTCCGGTGTTCCTCATGCCATCTATGAGAAAGCACCATGTCGATCCCAATGCTCCAATAAAAAAGTCTGATTCCACTGCCATCAAGAAATTAACCAGAGGATAGTTTGTGCTGGTTTTCCTTCCAAGACTAGCCTCGTATGTAGCCATTGCTATGTTTCTCACTTGGCGTGTCACATTTGTGTAGTAGAAGTTCCAATGAGGGTATGATTTTGTTTTATCGATCACTTCCTGAGATTAAGTTTAGATCATTCGTGATATTAGATACATGCATAACAGCAACACATTCATTCATTCATTCTTGTTCTTATTTATTTTTCAATTTCTGAATGCTAACCTGCATTTCTGTGGAGAGCCAAATGTTGTTGAGATGTGGAAAGCGCTTTCGGATACGGTCAGCAAGTTCCATGTATCCTTCAAATTCGACCACTTTCATTTCACATGCCTTGTCTCCCATTCTTACATGCATACTTAGCAATGGCCTGGGGACCCAAGGTTTGTGATTTGACCATACAAATTCTTCAATATCTGACTTTGGCTTGTTCGCAATCACCTGCGATGAGAGCCCTAATTAGCAATAGTCTCAAGTGAAATTTAAACAATAATGAATTTAGCATGCATGATAATAGTTCTTTCTAGTTAAATTCCATCACATATGAGTATGGATGAACATCAGCTCATCTCTCCTGTTCATTCTATTTGTCAAGTATGTACCCTCATGTCCATTAGACAAGCAAGCACCAATGGAGAGACAATCAACCTGGAGACGGAAGATTCTGGCTAAGATGAACAAACCTTTGGCCACTCTCTGTCAATAGTTGCAAGAACCATTTTTGCAGCTTCCTTCCCAAATGCAGCATGGCGAGCAATGTTCAATAAGCCACAGGTGTACTCTGTTTGAAATCTCATTAGGTAGCGAACAGCCTGTCAATGATGAATGGTATTCTAATGAGTCCATCTTTACAGCATGGCATTCTCATACGAAACAAGGCGTGTCTATGTATGACATGCCCGAAATCAATACTTCAAAGACTTCATGTTGGAAAGGAAAACAGATGGCAGCTAAATATGTAAATAATCTTGAGTTGTACCTGTGCTCTCCACCACCTTCGATCCATTTTACGGTGAACAGCAATTAAAGTCCCATTTATCTCCGTTGTAGGCTGCAAATAACTCCAAGGATCACCCCATGCCCTGTATCAAATAGGGCATTCCTGACTTAAAGATATGATTTTCAAGTGCAAGTCAATACAAAATTCGTACATGCAAATCTCATATACTTACCTTGGAATCCTCCCTGTCCATATTTCCTTTGAATTGTAATTTTCTTTTCCTTTTATAATTCCCTTTTCCCATGCCTCCTTGCTTTGCATAAGCTCAAATGCACGGTCTCTGCATTCCTGGGATGTCTCTGGGAAGAAGTAGCAAGACCAACTAGAGCGCGATGATCCTAAAGTACGAACATCATGACAATACAAATTGCAGGGTCATTCTGCCAGCTCTCATACGATTAATTCCCACAAAATGTCACTAGCAAGCAATAAGTTCATACGGTTCATACCTTTACAACCATCGTGGTCAGCACGATTGTAGTAGTTGGTAACAAGCACCCTTTTCTCGTTGATTGCGATAGCAAGAAGCCCACACATACTAGCAAACTGCGCCCCAACGCCAAAGCCAGGTAATGTTTCCCAGTCAGCGACAAGAAATTTTACACTAGGATCACGGCAGTTTACTGGATGCTGATGGATCCAAATGTCACGCTGTACTTTCCTGGTAAGAGGATAGTTTTCTTCATCTGATCCCACAATCTGAGAAAGGTCCCAAATTTTAAAATGTTTAAGAAGTAAAACATATATCATTTTATAGAGGAACACATGGTTTCTTAATTCCAGGAAAGAACATGACAGTATTCATATAGCATTGAACATGAATTGACATTAGTATCATGCTTTGAATAGTCTTTATAATACAGACAGGTTAACCAAAATGAGGTAGAGGGAACAAGGTAGAGTCAATGCAATGCGGACAGAAACTTAATCTCACTGGTTATACTTGATATTAGGCAGCTACAAAAAGGGCTCCATCCTAGCTACAATATGGAAAGAAGAAATGGACAATAATTCCAACAATTAGTGGCTGAGTATAATGAAACATAGTATTTGTTGGAGGGTTCCTACAGTTAGTTCCAACAATTAATCATGAGTTGACTCTATTCGTAATGTCTCGTCATATGCCTAAATTACAAAATTTTAAATTAAATGCAAATATACACCATAATTTCAGGTTGTATGATCATGTCTTGCATGTGTCTAGGGATTATGTAGCTTAGGAACATACCCATGGAGGATAAGCACCTTCAGATATGGCTTGATGCCTGAAGTGCCTAATTTGCTCATTAGCTGCAGTTGCTGGAAACATGTCTAATGAACCCTTCCAAGTTGTCCATGGAGGAAATCTCTCAGCTCCAGCAAGTGTGTCAAGACGCTTATTCACCCGAGCCCTTAATTTGCAGTTATCTAAATGAGGGGCATTTGGTATACTGGATGTACTGAGTCCAAACCTTTGCAAGAACTCGCTTTCTGCATCCGCCTTATCAGTTAGTAAAGCACCCCAAGCTTCAATCAGTAAAGAAACTCTCTCATCATCGCTCTCTGTTCCCCTTTGCTGGGAATCCACCCATTTCTCTGTTTCTTTTAGTTTAAATTTGCAGTCTGTTCTAGTAACAACATCTACAATTCGATAGAGCAAAATGCATTAATGTTAAAACAAATTCACAATCAAGAAATTCCCAAATGCAAATCTATTGCAAGTCCATCATTGCCACTGATTCAAGGATGATGGATTTTAAGGACCACCGAAATTCTTAGTGGTGCTGGCTGTTCCTTTCACTAGTGGTTTCCTCTCTTTCCAGGAAAAAAGAAAGAAAGACAAAGGGATAAAAACGAGATCCATGAACAAATATCTTGAAACTCCCAACATTGCTTGCTTGCCACTGAACGTTGACAAGTCCCAAAGTTGGGATGCTGGCTTCTAGCTAAAGTATTTTAAGTGAACCACATTAGTGTACTAATTATGATTATCTAGAGACTAAAGTCAAAAGTCATCAACTAAAGAAGTAAACAACAAATGTGTGCAATAAGTCATTCCCACTTTGAGTTGCTTCAAGTACACCCAAAGATCATCTTCATCATGCCCTGCATCAATCTGTCAAATTTTGACTGATTCACCAGGAATTTCCGTATTTAATGAAACATTATATCATTATCTCGAAATAATAAGAACTCAATTCTGCACCTATCATCTGAATCTTCAAACTTCCAGCCAAGTATCTTCTCCATTATTTACCCAAAAAATCCCATTAATACTGTGAGTATAGACAGCTCCATCTCCATCATAAGAATTTTCCTTAAATATTTTGGTCCAATCTAACTAGAAGATGAGGGAAAAAATGCACATAGCAGATAAATTTTAAAGCTACAGTCTATGTTGGAACTAACATATGTAGAAATATAACAGAGAGGAAATTTAACTTACTGATTATCTCTGAACTTGAATTCAATGGAGAAATTCCCATTGATATGGATGCAAATGAAATCCCACCAAACCCAGAAGTACCAAGTGAAGTAAGAGCAGCCAGGAACAAAGATGTCAGACAAACTCCACAGAGGAAACCCACCACACAAATTTGGCACGGAAATGAACTGCCCATTTGTAAAGCTCTCTGGGAAACCACTCTCTCCAAAAACTTCTGCTTTGTTGGCTCCATGTTCTTCCCTTACTCACCTTTTTCCCCTTTTTTCGAAGTGTATCGCAACTTCCAAGAAGAAGGAAAACCCTTCATTAACTGCTTTCTTTTGTCTAGAATTTCATGGCATGCCAACTAAACATTCAACTATAATCACATGAAAACATATGATAGTTTTAACTTTGTTGATATTTCATCTGGAAACAGATGATGCCTGGGAGTTGGTTTACGTCCAACCAATCAAAGCAAAAAAAAACACATTCACTTAATTGTCACTCTCAACTTCTCAACCATTCACTTCACCTTTAATAACTCCTTTGCCTGGTGGTCCACTCCTATCTTTTCCTTACAGCTGCAACATAAATTGAAAATTTTCCATCAGAATTGACACCAGAAGGAAGAAAATAAATAATCCTAGGCCATAATAACCTGGAAAAACCATACAAAGGTCTTACAAGGTGAAATTCAATAACAGAGAATTGCAGATCAGTAAAAGAGACAAACCCCAGAAAAAACCAGTCAAAAAGAAGAAGAAGAAGAAGAAGAAAGTGATAACCTCAAATTGAAATTTAAAAATGGTAGGATACTTTGCAGTAACAGGAAAATGATACAGAGAAACCTTGCACTTGAGAGCCTTTGAGGATACACACAAGAGATAACATGCAAAAAGACACATGCCACAAAATGAATACAAGAAAACAAAAGAATACAAGATAAGAATCTTACTAAAGCATTTTACCAGAAACACCCCACAAAAGAAAAACACAATAAAATGTATGGTCACCACTTTCATTTTTTAATTATATCTTCAGACCAAAGGGGCAATGGTACAAACTTCAACCAAACCCAGGAAGAAAAAGCCAAAATAGCAGAAAAAGGAAACACCTTGGGAAACTAACCATGTTTCAGTTTTCTCAAAGAACAAAACACAGAAGCAGACATGTCTCATAAATGATCACACACTCTGACTGTTCACAGGGCTAAACTGCTCTCATTTTCTTGGTTAGAATTATGGGTTTTGTCAAGATAGCGATAGGAGGTAGTTAAAGTTATAGTAGAACAGTGTTGATTAATTAAATTACAGTATCTTATAGTATTAGATTATAAATAAAATTAGGATTAATCTTACGTATACATCTCTTTACATAACATGCACAGTGAGAAGTTTTATCGGTATACAATTTAAGATTTCTCTTCCTCTTTTCTAACAAGTTTCATTGTCAGCCTGTTCCGTCTAAGATAGAAATGCAACAATGACACCAAACTGAGCAAACTAGGTCATTCTGGAGCAGGTGAGAATCTATTCTGCATGCCCAAAGAAACTGGTCCCACATCTCAAAGAGTGGCGGTCCCCCCAACAGCCTTACTTGTTTCATTATCAAACATGATCACAGCTCATTTGCAGTGGCCAAGGCCAATAAAGATATGGCTAGTGGCTTTGGCAATGTTGAAGACTGCAACCTTTTTGAGTTGAAGATAAAGAGGTTTGGTGAATTTACTAGTAAATTCAAGCTATAGGCAGTAGTTGACAAAACCATTTTTAAATAATACGATACTTACCCTTAATATCTCATCATTAAATTAAGAAACGTGGGTTATTATATAATAAGAAGGTATGGATTATGATTATCTTCAATGTTCACGTATTCATAGATAAGCTTCGATAAATTAATTGCACTGCTTCGTATTCAATTATTGCAATGAGCCTCGTTGATTTATAGAGAAGCAAAGGTGATGGTATTTAGATAATTCATTGCGTAACACTTTAGATTAGTTGTATATATATATATATAATCTAACTTCTTAAGGCTTAAGCTATGCAATCATGTGTAGTTGAAGTAATCTCGTTATCCTCTAACCAGAGCCGTTGATTATAATTGATCCCAAAAGGTCCAGTCGAAATATATGGCGGCCCACAAGAGTCGATAGGACTCCAGCAACCTCCGAGGTGGCCGGCCGTCAGTTGGGATTCACCTATATAAGTATATATTATCAAGGTGATATTTATGGGAAAAATATATATTTTTTAGTTAAGATATTATTTGTTTTTTTTTAAAAAAAAGATTGATAAGAAAATATTTCAATTAAAATTTCTAAATTTCAAATTATAACTGCTGTATGTACATCTTGAAATCTTTCACACCTCAAAATGGTAGCCCCTTTTTACTCTAAACCCTAACCCATAAATGCTAATCTAATGGAAAGTGGGGTAGAACCCAATTTTTGAGTGCAGGTTAGGCTTCCATTGGGGTGGCCATCACCTCTCTACATTAATCTACATATCAATTGACCCACCTAAATTAATTAAATCATTTAATTAATGAGGTTTATATTTCTTGCATTTTCACAACGGTTTAATTTTATAAATATATAAAAATAAACATTTAATTTTTTTTAAATAAACATTTTTAAAATTATGGATATTTATCTTTTAATATTTCTAACTTTTAAATTTGATTTACTCAATGAAGTGATAATATTTTATTCATCGATATTATATGAAATCAATTCAGTGACAATATATATACCATCAACCTAATGGGGTGCCACAAATCTAGTAATAATAACTCACCATATAATTTTGAATTCATGTATTATTTATAAAAATAGAATTTAATAATTATTATTTGTAATCGAAATTTATTACAAATTTAAAGAAGCGAAAAAAGCCCAGATCCTTTTGGTCCCCTCAACTTTAAAGCCCGAAGTATTAAAGAAGCTTTTCAGTTTTCAGTCCTTAAACTCAGTGCCACAAATCTGCCCTCACTTTCAATGAAGCCCTTACAAATTTTAAACAAAGCCCTCCCCACGCCAACGGTCATATTCTTTCATGTCTTACCTTCTTCAAATTCCTTCAACCACTTCTCTTTCTCCTTCATTTCTCTTTCAATCTCCATGAAGACTGTTATCTAGTCCTGGGGGTCCTTTTCTGTGGGTTGAAAAAGAAATATTTAAAGGAACTTTTATAATCAAGTCAATAAGGCTAATAATGGGTTGCTTTTTTGCTTGTTTTTCTGCTTCCAAGAATAAAAAACACCAGCATTTGGTGGATGGGACTTCCTCTAATGTTCATCAGGTTAGTTTTTTCTTCACTTTCCTGGCTTTATACTTCATGGGGTTCTCTTTCTTTTTTTGGGTATTTTATACTTTCTTGAAATTTGTTCCATGCAGAAAGGTGAAGCTATTGAAAATATTCAATCCACTAAGGAAGAAGATTTTAAGATACCCTTTGACCCTATTGCAGTGAAGAAGTAAGTTAGGGTGTAGCAAGCCTTGTGTATTTTTTTGCTTGTTTATGTTGCATGCGTGTGTTAATTTGCTTGTTTCATATCAATTTATGTAGAGAGAAGCTCGGGGAGCTGTTGAACTACAGTGGTAAAAAGAAGGTGACATTTGATTTGAATGTGAAGACTCGTGATGAGGAATTGCCTGCTGAGTCTTCTGACAAATTGTTGAAAAATCATGAGGATGAGGAAAGTGAGGAGAGTAAAGAAACGGCTAAAGGAAGCAGATCTCCTGTTTTTTATTTGAGTACTTCATATGAAGTTTGTAAGTCTCAAAATGATAGATATCAGAACAGTGCTGAAAGTGAGGATGAACTGGAAGATGTGGATTTAGAAGTTGGTGATTTAGCTGATGATAATGAGGATGGAAAGGCCGAAAATGAGCCACAATTGGTCATAGAAGAGTCATCTGAGTCACTATTTTCTTTGTCAATAGAGTCTAGGAAACAAGTTTGTGACGTTGAATCAGAAGAGAAGGAAGTTACAAGTCCAATGCCGGTTGATAAATCACCTATTGAGGAAGTCAAGCCAACTGGATTAAATCGAAATGGGAAAGATAAGGGTGCTCAGTACGTTCAATCAGTTTTGAATCCAGTGGAAAATCTTGCTCAGTGGAAAGAAGTCAAATCAAAAGCAGGCATGCCATTGAAGCAGCAAGAAAAGGAGAACATCACTCTAGAGCAAGAATATCATATACCAGTTAGTCCGGAGCCTAGTTTTAAGTTTGCAACTGTCAGTTCAAAACTCTGTTCCAAAGACAACAAGCCTGTAGGCCAAGAAACTGCTGTTGACACGAGTCTTTCCAGCTGGTTAGTGGAACCTGAAAACACACCGAATTCTGAGGCTAGTACTAATTCAGTTGGGAATTCAGCATCCAAGAAAACAAATTCACCAAGAAGTCATGAAGATAGACCTATTTTAGGTGCATTGACAATGGAAGAGCTCAAACAACATTGTGCATCTACATCCCCAAGAAAGCGCAGGAGCCAGAGTCCAGATGAAACTCCTATTATAGGGACTGTTGGGAGCTACTGGAGTCATACTGGCCAGACAATAAATTCTGATTCAAGCTCTCCTAGCAAAGGAACACCGAGAACAAGGAGCAGAAACATGCTGGTATAGGAAGTGAGCTTTCCTGGTATCCCTATGCATCTTACATATGTTGGAACTGATATATAATTTTGGTTGTGCAGGATGAGAGACTGAAGTGGAATGCAATACCATTTGAGGCGAGGTTGGAGAGAGCTTTGAATAGAGAGATGTATAGCATGTCTCTGCAATCGTGAGACGTTCTGGTAGATGTAATGTTCTCTTTTTTCCAGCATTCATATGAATGCTTTTGTTTGTTTATATGTTTGCCTGTTGCTTATTTCCGTTAGTGAACCTAACTGAACTTCTCTGTAAATGATTTCTTGTTAAAATAAAGTCCAATGGATCATGGCATTATTTTGATGGTAGTCAAAGCTGTTTACAGTTCTAACGTTGTTTGAATCATAGATTAGCACAAAAGCTGTGTTACTAATCGTTGATCATAATCAGATATCAATCCATAAGTTTCAAGTAGAGCAAGAGCTACTTGCATCCACAGGCACAGGGCGAAATGATAAATTCACAGGTACAGAAATGGCTTACAAGTTGGGGATATATACAACAATCAAATCAAACCAAGCCATCACATTTTGGGAAATAGTTTCATACAGTTTGCAAGTAGTCAAACCAAATGTTATTCCGATAGATAGAAACCACCGTCTAATAGGTTGCATCATGCATGGTAACTACAGAATTAGAATAATAAAACTATGACTTTTATACATGGAGTTTTCAATGTGTACAAATGGTGTTTCCATGGTGAATAATGACCATGGTTGGATATCAGTAGTTTCAAAATGATCTAAATGTTTCATAACAGAACTTTTGAAAACTCCAAAAATAACGGCAACAGAATAGCACAAAAACAAGAAATTCCCTGCATTATTTTGTGTGGTTGTCATGGCCTCGTTGCCCTTTGGCATCTTTGATTTAACAAAGATTTGACTGTTGAATACTTCCTATGAAATTAATTAATTTACACCCTAATACCCAGCAAGAATGTTACACATCATGAAAGAGCCGCCTTATCTGGTCAACATCTGCTGGCATTAATGTGACTGGGCAGCGCTTATACTGTGGCAATGAAATACAGCACAAATCAAATAAGTGCTTCAGGGAAAAAAAATCTACTCAAAATAGAATAAAACTAAAGATGAAGATCAACACCAACAATCTACAAGTATGCATACTTAGTTCTTTATCTTCTTCAGCTTATCCCAAATCGACTTTGTGAACTAGTAAAAACAACTAAAACTGTAAAATGTGCAAAATAAACCTTTAGATGTTCCATAGCAGTATATGGAAACCTTGGTTTAAGAGGTGGGTTTCCTTGAGTTTCCATAGAAGTTGGAACAGCAAGAAATTGCTTCTCATTACGAACTACATAAAGCATAGTTCTGTATTTGCTTAAAGAAGCTGAAGATAAAAGGTCGCTTAAGAAGATAATACCTCCTACTTTATTAGACTACTCTATTAATGCTTACTCCTTATTACTTCAAACGGAGTCTAGCGAAGTTTCACTTGAGAATGGATAGATGAAAGAAAATATGACAAATGGCCAATTTTATGATACAATTAAAGGTATGCTAATGGAATTCATACATTATATCAAGCCCTTTTGACAAGTTTCCCTACATACCATCAGATGCACATTGTGAAACGGTTCATTTGGTTCAAAAAATGGGGTTTGAAGGCC